ATTCCCAATTTAGATTGAGCATTGAAGACTTGAATCTGTCCGTATGTCCAATGACACAAAATGTTTATCTTTGGTGAAAAAAATAAACAAAAACACCGAAATACTGCAGAAGCTCTGACGTAGACCCAATTAATGCAAGATTCCCTGACCGATATACGATAGACTTCAACCAAAAACTTCTTGGTTGGTAACACAAACCTAAAACTAGGTCGATATTATAATGAAATTCCAGACATAGCTAGTAGGGAACTGCAAGCAATACCAGCAATACCTAATAAAACTGTCGTAAATAGTTGCATCTAGTTAACGAGTTTCCGTATGCACGCTGGCGACGTTTAAGCAGAATACAAGGCTAAATTATAGTTTATGTAGAGTCGACAGCATATTAAACTATACATTTGAGTTGCAAAATCGCATCTATTACAACTGCAGAAGAAGCCACAGTATTTAATTTACGTTGACGTTCCGTCGTCTGCACCTACACTTATCTATTCTATGCAAATGCAATGCACTTAGCGCTCCAGACGACTCTACAAACACCAAAAGCGAGAACCTATTTACGTATTAATACAAAAATACCTTCATAAATAGAGCCAAGGTCGCCTAAGATAGATTAACTGTAGTTACATGGTTTACGTAAAGAGCCGGTGATTATCTTTGCCCGTCGCGGTGTATGGGCAGTAGTCCGTTACCTGACACAATTCGCTGGAGTACAACGCTAACGTTTTAGTTAAAACGTAGCTCTATTTCAATATTTGATTTAGATAGTGCCAAGAAAAGTTTGGGTTCAAACTTGAAAAGTTGTCGTTTAGGTTTTGCCGGCCTTCCGTTAAAACGTTAAAGTTAGGTTTTGCGGTTTAAATTAAAAAAGAAAAAGTAAAATGCATTTTTATCCTGCAGTCTTTACTTGTTTTTGAGACGTCACGTGCTATAATTGAATCATGCTACTATGATTCAATTATAGCATATCCAATTATAACAGCACTTATTATTGCCTAGTTTCATTACCTTATAAAGTGCTTTTTATCCGTTTGCTTCTTGTGACTCTAGGCTGTTATTAACCACATTTATTAATAAATTGCTGTAACAAAACTAGAGTCGTTAAGTGTTAATGGTCCCCGGTTAACCCGGAATTTTGACTTAAACTACTTGAAGTTTACTAATGTAATAAGAAAGTCCAATTTATGTGACTCTTAAACATTCATAGCATGGAATGGACATGGCGCTGTTATGATTAAATTGACTTGAATTAATTTAAAGAAAACTGTCGGAAGTATAAAGATCCTACCTTAAACACTATAACTATGCAACTGGTACACGCATTATGTTATCAGCAAACATTGTTGCCATCGCGATCGTAAAAAACTGGCCATTATGACTTAATGTTGATCTTAATCTTTGTTTGATATTCAAATAATCTCGCAGTTAAATACTTATTAGGCAAGTGAGGACCAACCAAGTACAGTCGACGTCAAATAGTTCGTGTCACCCAAAGTAGCCTAAAAGTTCGCAATACGGTTTTGTTACAATAGAATAATAAGGTTGTCTTGTCAACTTTTTGGCCACTTTAGGTGTCACAAACTGTTTGACGCTGACTGTACATACTTTATTGACTACCTATCAGCTTTTGGCCACGTAGAGTTCGATAAAAGATGCCATATCTTATGAGCTATTTCTGCCATGGGTATGAGCTATAATCTAAAGTAGTCTCATCAAAATCTTAAACGGAGTATAGGTACCTAAATACTGTAAAGTAAAAATTAAAAGTTCTTAATTTACTGACCTTAGCGATGAGGGTTACCATTACCACACATGCGGTTGACCTGACGCTAAGTGGGACACGGTATCCGTGCACATTATTGACATGCCCAGAGCCGAGCCCTCTGAGGTATTTTGTAATATGTCATAAGATGTTACCTCTGTCTGTGGTAACACCATTTTATATAGCTTTAAAGCTGACGTAATTTGTCCAAAGTTTTACCTGCTGTTAGCCTTAGTATTTCATAAAATTGCCTGAAGCAATAAGGAAAATCGTCGATGCATTTCAGTTTCAAAACAAAGACTCATTGTTTTTCTAAAAATAATAGGCACATTGTTTTAGTCTACGAAAGATTACGAAAATGACTAGAAAACATGTTTTGGTGTTGTTTGTTTGCGTAATCATTTAAATTGACTTGCTTTTCCTAATAGCATCAGGCATGGAACGTCAACACATTACAATAATATTTTGTTATTGCCAAGTCAAGTTTTGTTGCGAAGTGCAAATATCACAGCACTACATGCGTAGGTAACCGTGAACTACATATTACTTGAAATAAATACAGTGGTCGTACGAATATTATCATAATATTGACCTATTAAGTATAATACGTTACTAATGCAATCATAAATTTCACTGCTGCTACCACGTTTCGATAATCCTATATATGTATGAAACTCAGAATACGGAACAAACCAGAAACCGTCAACGGGCGTAAATATGTATTCATATAAATTACTCCAAATCGCACTAATTTGACTTTAGAGCAATTAGTCAATGGCCGGCGCGCGCATTGTTTACATATCCGTCAGATTGACACTTTATAATTAAATTATGCCGTCTTGTGCCGTTCCAACATTTGTAAGAATAGTCCAGTCATTTCGTCCGAAAAAAAGGCAAATAAAAGAAAATGAATTTGCGCTTCTAATTTTTTAATATGTTGTAGGGGATACCTAGAAAAGCTTAACTTGAGATTGTCGACCAAGCTTTCCTAGGAGCTTTCGCCGCCATGTTGAAAAAAGGGGTAAAATTTGTTTTTCGGCAATAACTCGGCTATCCGATGAGACTCGAAAATTTTTGTAGGACACTTTTTGTAGCTTTCTTTGTGCTCTACAATAACGCCCGAACCATTTTTAGCGTATCATGCATCGTTATCGAGATATCGATCGATAAAGTCAAAAATTTTGGACACAATTTTTGTTTTTTTCTTTTTTTTTCTTTGGGTCTTAATAAATATGAAAAATTCCGAAATAATTAAATAATTAATTAAAAAGTAAAAAGTAAAATTTAATTACTTTTAATTACTTTTTAATTACTTTTTTTTAAGTAACGGCAAAGCATTTGTATTAGTTGGTTCTTGTTTTGATCCCTTGTGAGAAACTTCTCCTGGCTAACTTTTGGAGTAGTTGTCTCATCGAATGTGAACTCCGGCGATTGGTTTTTTCTCGAACGTCGTACTCTTTCCGAAGTTTTCGTTCCAGCGAGTGTCATATCAGTCGGATAACCGTCGAATATGATTGCAACCTTTCCTTCGAAGTTATGTTGTACGTATCTGACGTTAATTATTTAATTATTCCGAAATAATTTGTGTCCAAAATTTTTGACTTTATCGATCGATATCTCGATAACGATGCATGATACGCTAAAAATGGTTCGGGCGTTATTGTAGAGCACAAAGAAAGCTACAAAAAGTGTCCTACAAAAATTTTCGAGTCTCATCGGATAGCCGAGTTATTGCCGAAAAACAAATTTTACCCCTTTTTTCAACATGGCGGCGAAAGCTCCTAGGAAAGTTTGGTCGACAATCTCAAGTTAAGCTTTTCTAGGCATCCCCTACAACATATTAAAAAATTAGAAGCGCAAATTCATTTTCTTTTTTGAATGTACGTAATGACTGGACTAGAATGCTACTGGAATTACGAAGAAAGTGTTTAGGATTGCACAATCAAATAAAAGTCACTTATGTTTTTGTCCCAATATGGGATCATGTTTTATCCGTAAGTAGCACATTTCCAATTCATTTTAATTAAATAATAATTTTCAGAAAAAATCACGGTTGTATTTTGTAAGTGTTGCCACAGGTCAATGGAATATTTTACCCTACTTTTTTATATTGAATTACATTTGTCTATAAAAAATTCACGCGTTAATTTTGTTAGCGTTACCACAGAATAATGGAATATTTTCCCCATCCTTTTTGTTTTAATTAGTTTTTAGTGTAATTTCATCCATGACATGACAACCTGATTAATTAAATTATAAGTGCCACTTGTGGTCTAAACTGAATAAATATTTTTGATTTTGATTTGATTTCAATATATTGAATTAATTTATAATATTACTCCCTAATAATGAGGAGATAATAAATTACTATCGTGAATTTCATACTTTCCCATTTATTCAAAAGTAAGGCATTGGTATCAACAGATCAGCAGCAGCAATATTTGTATATTTAATAATAATTTTAAGTAATTAATTATTGCTTACATACTTACTCTGATTTTCTTTCAGGATACACAGCCAGAGTTGCCTCGCAATCAAATTTAAGTATTGGTGATGTTTTTGATTTGGATTCTGTTTTTGACTCCAAGAAAAGTTAAACTAAAAGCACTACTGCGCCGTAAACAAATGTTTTGTTGTCGATATGTTTACATAATAAAGAACCTTAAGTTTCTTTTTTGTTTTACTTGGCATTCTAAAATTTATATTCGACTTTTGTAATTGACTTTTAAATAACATATTATACCTACATATAGTATATTACACTATTTAATAGAAATAAATAATCATCTACACTTAGTTACTTCGGAGTAAAAATTAAATTCATAGGTAGGTAGGTACTATCTATGCCTATGGCCAGTCATGTCGTCTCGTTCTATCGCAAAGAATCACCATTTGATAAGAGCGAGAGCAAAAACGGAAATGGATAGTTAACACTGGCCGTGTGTACTTATTTCACTTACTTATTTTTTACTTGTTTAACATCTCTTTAAAAAATTACATAATTTTACCCCAAAAATGGGGGTGTCACACGGCGCTAGTAACACTAAAGGGGGTAGAGGGGCGCGGGAGGGGAAGTATTTTGGACACAAGTTGCCGCGTAGAAATGTTATCGAACACTCCTTCTGGTTTGTTCTGCATTCTGAGGTATGAAATCGCTGCATTGAAAAAGGATTAACTAATAATTACTAGAAGTCTTAAATGAGAAGGAAGTAAAAACAAAATCAAAACGTTGTTACAGTATTTGAGCGGCCTCCACATACCTCTAGTCCAGCACGGCGACAAGTTCGTAGCGGGCGCAGCGGCCGGCGTCACGGCCGTCACGCTGACCTACCCGCTGGACACCATCCGAGCGCGCCTCGCCTTCCAGGTCACCGGGGAACACAAATATACTGGAATAGCGCACGCCGCCTCCACAATGTTCCGCACGGTGAGTCTAAGTTACACTGGCACCGTCTCTATGTCACGCGGGTGCCGTCTCTACGTCATGCGTCACGCTGACCTACCCGCTCGACACCATCCGCGCGCGCCTCGCCTTCCAGGTCACCGGGGAACACAAATATACTGGAATAGCGCACGCCGCCTCCACAATGTTCCGCACGGTGGGTTCTGTAGCTGTCGCGCCGTCTTTACGTCATGCAGGTGCCGTCTCTACGTCATGCGTCACGCTGACCTACCCGCTCGACACCATCCGAGCGCACCTCGCCTTCCAGGTCACCGGGGAACACAAGTACTCCGGGATAGCGCACGCTGCCTCCACAATGTTCCGCACGGTGGATCCTGGAGCTCTCGCGCTCTCTCTACGTCATGGGGCTCCGTTTCTATGTCATAGGGCGCCGTCCCTACGTCATAGGGCGCCGTTTCTACGTCATAGAGCGCCGTCTCTACGTCATAGAGCGCCGTCTCTACGTCACGCTCACCTACTCGCTGGATACCATTCGCTCACGATACTACATCAGTAGCATTAACTCTCAACCAATTCATTGCGGTGCGGCAGGAATCAACGCGACTAGGCGCAATCTCTACCCTCTGCAGCTCTGCTGGACACGACAAAGCCCTCCAATCTATACTTAATTTTTGTGTTTACACCACTGTCCGGTCCAAGTTTTCTCACCCCCTCACCAATTTGTGGGTCTTAAAATAATTCGCGGACATAGTCATTACGTTCGCCTCGAAATATTGCACTGGTGACAATCATTCAATTTAAAACTGATTCCTCTTTAAAGTGTACTGATTTGATCTTCCTCTAAATTGATGTGTAGTGTGTAAAAAATAGTATAACCTGTTCCAGGAAGGAGGTATCCGTGCGCTATACCGCGGCTTCGTACCCACTATGATGGGCATGGTGCCGTACGCCGGGTTCAGCTTCTACTGCTTCGAGTCGCTCAAGTTCCTCTGCATGAAGTACCTGCCTACGTCACTGTGCCGCAAGTGCGATAGGAACACAGGTGAGGCCTACGTGTATTCCGGTTGTCCCGGGAAAAAAGTTTGTCCAACGAACGTACGAAAAAAAAGGATCGTTGGACAATTTTTTTTTCCGATGTCCTAAAGTGGGGAACAGGGATGTTATGGATATCCGTAACCGTATCCATAACCGAAACTACATATCCATAACATCCCTAGTGGGGAACAACGGTAATACGCCGAGACCTGCCTAACATGTATCACGCAGGGAATCTTTGAACAATGCTGGTTCCATCGACCTTTAGATTGCCTTGCTTGAATCTTCTTATTTTTTATTTTATTTTATTTTATTTAGGATACTTATGAGGCCCATAGGACGGGACCTTGACGACTCAGTAACGAATTTAAATCACTGGCTCATTACAATGTTATATTCCAAAAACCGGATTTTCTGATATTTTCATCAACTATGTACTATTTAATTAGGAAAAAACCGGTTTCTTATTCAAATAAAAACGGATAAAAATCAATATACGCTTTTTGCGTACCTTTTACTGACTAAAATATGACATTCAATTTCTGGAATTTATGAAAGGTGGAAAATCTAAGTAGATATTTAAAAAAATCTGTAACGATTGTATGTAAACTAACCCTTATTCGCAAGTGAAACTGATTATTAGATTTTCTTGGTGCTCTTGCCTTGCAAGTTGTCTGGTGCTGACGGTCCATTGAAATTATTTTTCTTGATCTTACAGGGGGTCTGGTGCTAACGGTGCCGGGTAAGCTGGTATGCGGCGGGCTAGCGGGCGCGGTGGCCCAATCGGTGTCATACCCACTCGACGTCACGCGCCGTCGAATGCAGCTGGCATGTATGGACCCGAGGACTGAGAAGTTCGGGTGAGTGCCAGCGCTAGAAGTCATTCTGCGAACAGGATTTTGAAAAGCGCTTTTACACGTTCCAGTATTACTTAGTTATTTTAACCCTACCTCTGCTTCAGGACAATAAATGGTCCAGTGTCGTAACTAGCCCTTTTTCGTCCGGTGCAAGATTCTATAACTGCGCTCTTGTCTTCAATCACTCACACTCAGGTCTTCTCCTAAATGACTTGATGATGATGATGATGATGATGATAATGTTAAAATATAAAATATGTTGAAGGTATAAAACGTAGTACCTATTTTTTTAACTTACAGTCTAGGCACGGCACTAACACCACTTGAGCACGTCCGCACATCACGGCGGTTGACAACCGAATGCCCCCCACTACTGCTCTACCGCAAACTAAAACTACCCCCTACCACTTTTAGCATGCACTCGAATACACAATTCTTTAAGGAGCTGATAAACTATAGATGATGGGCTTCATACTAGTGTTTAACCACCTTGTATGATATTAACTATTCCCTAAAACATTTTACCAGGTGATGGAGCCTATCCTACTAATATTATAAATGCGAAAGTTTGGATGTCTGGATGGATATATGTTTGTTACTCTTTCACGCAAAAACTACTGAACAGATTTTGATGAAACTTTACAGTATTATTGTTTATAACCCAGAATAACATATTTATGATTTAATTTATGACGAACAACTGTGATAGACACAATTTGTGACAAACTAAATTTCACGCGGGTGAAACCGCGGGCAAAAGCTTGTTAAAAATAAATTATAGGACAAAAACTCTTAACGGGATCGGTATAGAGGTTACAGTCAAAACTCATAATCGGTCAAAACCACTTTTGACTGCAAAAATCAGTCAATAGTGGTTTTGACTGATGGCCTTGGTCAATATCACTTTTGACTGATTTTTCCAGTTAAAAGTGGAAAAATATCGATTAACTTGTAACTCTTTGTGCAATAACCTTACAGCTTAAAAGTTTCTCCAGCGCTCTCTGTATATGTACCTACCTAAAATGTAAATTACTCTTCCGTTGTATTTCTCTGTGGCACTAACTAATAAACAATTTCTGATTTGCATGTTATGCACCTGGTGTTGGCAACATGGCAGGAGGTTTGTTAAAAATATTATTTTAAAATGCAGTATTAAAGCCTGGTCCGTGAGCACGTAGAATTTGCACACTCACTGCGGACGCCCGTCGCACAGCCGCGACAGCAATATAATTACGTGCGAGCGATAAGGATGGGTAGCTTGGGGTCATTGGACAAAATTCTACGTGCTCACGGACCAGGCTTTAGCTGTTTTCATTACACAACAATAGAAAAAAAGGTGTACATAATATTTTAAAGATTGTTTGAGCCAGTCTCCAGCGCGTCTTTTGCCCTACATAATCAACAAAAAGATCTCAACATTCAACAAAATTTACTACAAAAATGTTGAATGTCCAGATTTTTGATAATTGTGGAGGGCAAAACATTGTTGTATTTTCCTTACGTATTTAAACGTGAATGTGATCTACACCCTATTGTTGTTTAGTGAACTCATTGTTTGTTTAGTTCATACTTTCATTTAAGATTGGATTTGGAAACTTTACACAATGTAAAACTGAAAATTTATTCATATCATTGATAAAGAATTGCATATTTTTTTCGGTCAAAAATGGCCAATCATTAAAATTTCATAAAGTGAAACGTGACATCACACTTTCATCTCATTTTAAAACGATAAATAACTGCACATATTTGTGCTCATTATCCACAATAATTGGTGTGATTACAAAAATATCACATTTTCCATAATTTTGTAATTGGGCGTTGTGATTTTCATAGTTTTGAGCTTTTCATCTAATAACAAAATGTTTTATTACTAACATAATTTTTATTACCCACCGTTTTCAGTATGGGCATGGTGCAGACGCTAACACTTATCTACCGCGAGAACGGCGTCGTGAAAGGCCTGTACCGAGGCATGAGCATCAACTACCTCCGAGCAGTCCCAATGGTGGCTACCTCCTTCAGCACATACGAGCTTATGAAGCAGCTACTCCAGCTGGATACAGGCATGAAAGTCGCGTAGCGTGGTCTAACTAAGATGCGCCTCCGCGAGCTAACGTACAGACAGCGCCATCTGTTAGCGGCACGGACGCAACTGCTTGCACATTTGTATACTTACAGTGCGTTTAAAAGCAGGTGCACTTTGACTCCGGCATGAAGATTTGCCTTTGTTGCAAATAATTAATTACTTTATGTGTATTGAATATTGATACACTTCTTAGGAAATTATACATGACTTACAAGTGTAATGACAATGCTTGAACCTAACTCAAGCATGAAATTACTTAGGTTTAGGCGACCAGCGGATCGGTGTTATAAAAGTAACGTGTACGATACGATTCCGATCCGCTCTAATACATCTTCGGTATTGAAATTATTATATCAATTTTTATTATTCCATGACTACTGACCGGTACGATATTTAGACATTAATTGAATTGCATCAATTCTTGTAAATACTTTGGCATTTTTTCTAACTGTTGCAGTATTTATTTGGTTTATTCTTAATTGTCACAATTTAATTACTTAATTAATTTAAATGACGTGTAGGTAGATAATTTCTTTCACGGTTTGGGGGATTGGGGACTGGAGTCTGAAATATGTAAAATAAAAGAACAAACTGCGCACAACTTATCGTTTGTCCGAAAATTCAATTTATTCTGTGACCTATTATTGATACCGTTTGATAGAGCTCAATCAGTAACTAGTTTTTAAATATCTTGTATAGTTTTGAAATAATCGAGTAAGATCACTAATCTTTTCCACCCTGTAGAGATACACGTTTGTATTTTCCTAACAAGCTTCCATATTGATATTATTTTTAATCCCCTAATTATGTGCAAATTATAAATGATTTAGTTATAATAGATGTTAATTTGTAAGTTATAACAAGTGTAACTTGAAATGACGACAATTATAAAGAAATGTGCCTTTATCAGAAAGACATCAATTTGGTTAATTCGGACTAGTATAGACTGCTTCATACCTCCGCATAATGCACAAATATAATTAAAAAATAAGTTTAGGCGTTTCGTCAGACGAAAACCTAAATTAGTGAAAAAGTTACTTATTTTTAAATACCTACCGATTAAGTACATTTTAACCAGGTTAGTCTCATGTACTCATCGTAGCTGTAAGTAATTAATTTTGTTATTATACAGCGCGTCTGAACGTGTTATAGGGTAAACCACCCAATTATTGGCACTTTAAGCAGCTACTTCACAAAACCGGTAATATTTACATGTAAAAATATGTTTTATCAAAGATAAAAACATTTATATTGGTCTTTTAATCTTTGCAGAATATTATAAAGTACTTATCATTAATAAATTAAATCATTTATTCAATATAGTGTACCTTTTAAAAAAATACCTCAAAATACCAGTTGTTGGCATAGCCAAACCTTTTATTGGCAGTGATAATTACCCATTATTGGCACTGTTCTCGCAAGACTGAAAAATTGCTGCTAGGTCTTATGTAGAGGTTTTAAAGAGATTCATGATAGAAATAAACAAAATAAAATCCTTTGTTTAAAGAAAAGTAACATTTTTTTTGTATAGGAACATACCATATCAATTCAAACGCTTATATTTAAATATGGTTTTAAATTTTCCATAACCACTTTTATCAAATCTTCTTTTCCCTTCGGAAATCCTTTTTTGCTACTGATTTTTATTTTATCCAGTCAACAAAAAGCTGTTCTTCCTCGTCAGTTAAAACTGTGAACGGACCGGTCTTAGAGCGATGATCAGGATGTTTCAATCTGAATTATAGTAGACCGTGGCACCACTTTCAAAGCCTTTCACAGGCTTATTCCACTAATCCCCGTCAACGGGGATTAGTGAACTTTTTATTCATTAATCCCCGCTAACGTCAATGGAGCTTATAATATATAAATTTATAATTAAATAAATTATAATACCCATTACTTTATTTTATTTTTCTTTATTCAGAAAACTACGTTAAAAAATAAAATACTAATGTAAGAATCATGTACCTTCTATTTATTATTGGATAACAACTCACTTATTGATTATTTTTATACTCAAATTAAATTTAAGCCTGATTACAAAGCTATTAATTTACACCATTTTATCTTGTTACATTTTGGGCCAAATTTGTATGTAATCGTTTCCATCTTCTTTTAAATGATGAATGAGGAATTGAGGAATAACGATTCAATATCCATAGTGCTTTTGGTTAATCAGGTAAGTGTTAATTTTTTTAAAGTATTGTAATCAGTCTTAAATTTAATTTAATTTGATAATAAAAATAATAAGTGAGTTCTTATCCAATAATAATAATTGGCAGTGGGCCAACATTTGGATTGGTGTATCCAAAACGTTAGAAAATATTTTAAATGCAATTTAAACTCAATTTTGAGACAAACAAGGTATAATTTTTAATAAACTCAAATTATTTTAAATACCCTTTTATTGGCATATGTGCCAATAAAATGGATAAACAGATTTTACGCATACCAAATGTTGGCATACTACAAATAATTAAAAGTTGGCGGTTAAATTATAAAATAATGTTTTAAAAAGGCAGTTAATATATTCAATAATAAGACAAAATGATTATGTATAAGAACAACAAAATAGATTTGCATTTTTTTTAAAGATTATGATAGCTCTTACCTTAGTAAAAAACGAATATTTCGATTGTTTTTTTCGCACAGGTCCCGGTTTGTCAAACAAATGGTTGAAGCGCCGCGATGTTTGAAAAAATAATAAACGTGTGTAGCCAGTTGAGTAATAAATGATATTACTCTTCAATTTCTACTAAAAAATATAAGGTTTGGCTACAAAGAATCTTAATTTTCTTAAAAAACTGGAGCATGCCAATAAATTGGTAGAGTGCCAATGATTGGGTGGTTTACCCTAGTTGTCTGATTTGTAGGTACATATTGCTAGAAATATGTAGATAGTGTAAGGCTGAGTTGCACCATCTTACTTTAACTTTGACAAACATCAAAAATCTGTCAAACTCCATACAAAACGACCGGTTATGGTCATAGTTACAGTCAAAGTTAGATGGTGCAACTCAGCCTAAGTTGTATTCTTCATTCCATTTGTATTAATTAATTTAGGGAGTATAAATATTTATTTTATCATTCAAACCAGGCTACTTTAGGTTAGAAATTGTGTATTTTAATTTGTTCTACCAATATTTCTGGATATTTACAATATTCCTATGATTTAATTGACAGGGTCCTAAATGCTTTAATTCTTTAGTTGAAATAGTATTTCAGGCAATATTTTATTTTTAGACGCTTTTAAAATAATTTGTAAATCTTATTACGTGCCTTTTATATCTTACAACACAGTGGTTTGAACAACATTCAAATACCAAAGACAAATACATAATCAGTTATGTACCATTACCTACTAAATAATTCATACATCATGTTTTATCAATTAAATGTAACTTTTAAAATACAGCTAATACGCTAAAATTCGGTGATGAGATTATGCTATTAGAAATAAATAAATAAATCGATTTATTTTTAGAACTACGTTTGTTTTATTTAACTACCAGTTTTCACCGAGCAATTAAAATAAGTTCGAAACATAAAATGAAATTTCAAAATTATGATATCCTCTCTAGCTAGGGTTTAAAATAACCTTAACCTGGAAATAAAAGATCCTTTTTATAATTAATTTTATTTATTATCTAATCCTCCAACGGGCATAGTACAGTTGCAAGAATAAATTATTTAACGGTTTTGTGTTTACATTTTATTATTGCCATGTAGCGTCTCAGAGGTTTGAATACTATCAAATATAAACGGCGCAATATCAACAGTCTGCACTCCATCTAACTACATTTTGAACACTCGCTCCTCACAAGTTATTGTATTCATTGAATGTTGGATTGAAAGTCTATGCGGTTTGCCAGGAAAGCCTTAAATTATTTCGAGCTTCGAATGGGTGAAATAACGCTAGGAAAGCAGTCGAACCAACCATGCAAAAACATCAAGATCCAATATCACTTATTTCACGCGGACGAAGCTCCACATCATACATAATTTCTTTTTTTGTATTTTCGGTATTATAATTATTTTTTTACCTATAACTAACATACTTAATACTTATATCAACGTAACGTGTGGCTTCAGATGTCATTGGTGGGTAAAGTCTTTGTATGGATTAGTTCACGCGTTTTAGTTTTTTACAAATTATAGTGCAATTTGAAAATATAAAACCCATAAATCGATTCTATAAGCCAGAACGTTCTTAGGGGATGGCACTGACAAAAGAAACTTCGTAATTCTAATAAGTATATGTTTGCTACGTGGAATATAAAATTGCTTTTGTCAGTATATCAAAAACACCCTCATTTTAAAGTGAAACTAGGCATCTAGGCTAATAAATGAGTAGGAAAATTTTAAAACAATAATATTGCCACTTTTAGATTTATTCATAACCTAATAGATGTTTCCCTCAGTATAAAACACCTTTCAATTTCAACGAATCACTATACAGGGCGGATTTCTGAGATAGAACAGAAAGTAAGTACTTTGTAAGCATTGTACCTACAGTAAAACATACTTTGTACCTCGTTGTACAGTTTTTGAATTTAGCCTTTTTTTGCCAAGCACAATGTCATATGATTATGACAAATAATATAATTCTATTTATAGTACTCAAACCTCAGTTGGTCCCGAGAAAGAATTTTTATCCTTATCGGAAACAGGATCAATGGCATCAAAAAACTTCATAAATGAACAAAACGCGGGTAACAAATGAATTAAAACTATGAATGAAATTAATCATGTGAAAAGTATAATGATGTAGAATGTTTTTTCTGTAACAATGGTTAAAAAATACCTTCTTAAACTGTCCTATCTCAAAAATCAGCCTGCATGCACTCACATAAAAATTATAATTTGATACTTACCTTCCGTTTAAGAATAAAATTGTGAAATGAGTGAAAGGGGACATATTCGAAACTTATTTTAAAATATAACAACCTATTACTGCCTTGATCTTTAGGTATTTACACAATTACCTAAAATTAATGAAAAATAGTAAATAAAAAAACATTAAAGCTCCACTCTTGTGAAACACTTTATTCCATGTTGTACAGGTACTGTGGCACAAGAAAAGGAGAATTTTGAAAAATTAATCTCGAAATGCACTTTGTTAAGTCATTTTATGGCAGAATGGTCTCTGGACGTCACATATTAATCTTAATACTTTACTCCGATAATTACCTCATCAAATCTTCACCATCCTGACATAAAATTAAATGCTCACTATTACCACAAATGTTCACACAGCGTTGTTGAAACGTATTCTCGTGAGATATTTTATAAATTGTCGGTACGCGTAAAATTAGCTATCAAACCGTAAAATTCATTCCAATTAAAATGTAAAGCTTTTAACTAAAAATAATAATAAAAAATGACAATTATCAATTTACTGGAACTTAGATCAACGTTATAAGTAGCTCCTTTCTAACACCTACGAGTCTGAACGAAACGAAATAAGATCCATTGGGAATTAAATGTGGTGAGTGTGTGAATTGGTCACCAAGGGTTAAAACGAGTGTATGGTGGTATGTCCATTCGGTCGTGAACGATGGTGAGTCGGTTGCGAAATAAAACTACCTTGTTAGCAAATGTACGCTGTTTAATGAGGTCTATGTATCCGATACATCGTAAATAGTACATACAATAATGAGGGCGACCCGGGCTGCTATGAACATACCAACATAAACAACTACAGCGGGGCGGCGCCGCGGCCGGACCACCCATCCTTGCGAGTCTGTGGTACTCGAGACGCCATATTGCTACCCAGTTGGATACCTTAACAAATTCGGCAACAGCGGAAACAGTGGAAGCGGCAAGAACTCTATTTTCATCAATATCCAAGGCACCCGCGGTTATTCGTTCACATATAATGGCTTCGACCAATAACCGCGGGTCGAGTACCACAGACAATTCGCGCAGGATGACTGCTCACTTTCCTCCCCATTTGAAATGCACTGTTGGAAACCATAGCGATGGCGAAGCGAAAAGACATCGCGAGACACTCGACGCGAACGCGTCTGGATCTGTGAATATTACCTTTGAGTATGCAGACGAAACTAACATTGTGCCAGAATGTACCCGAGTCGCTATAAAAATGTCTCACGATGTCTTCACGCCAGAAACAGGGGAACATAATGGATGGACACGCCCGATAATATCATACAGGTATGAAACCGGCTAATACTGGGCACCATGCCCCCCATTTTGCGTACGAGCAGCGTTCGGGCACGATCTAGATCGAATCGATTATAGTTTACTCGATTAATAAACGAATAGGCACGACTCGATAACCTGGACGGCGGCCGAACCTCGCTCGACTCCTAACACGCAGCGCGACCGAGGGAGCTCGCGCAATTTTGATAATCTACTGGAAATTATCCACATTTTTTCACATAAATTCAGTTTTACACCACCGTTTCAATCAACCGTCTTGTCAGTTCATCATAGAGCAATGGAATTGTCAGAATGAGACAACACTGTCAATTAGAACGGTGCAATAAAACCCGAGTTTTCATGAACGAAATGTTATACGGAACACACATTGACTAGGCATCAAACTCGCACATTCTCACGGATTTTACTATGTGATTCGACACTCGGAGCGGTTGTAATTTTGTTGTAAAAAACGTGTCATTGTAATACACGTATCGAACATATTTACACGCGTCATGTAGACTATCGGGTGAAAGGTCTAGTCGATTGACGTTCGCGGGAGACGTTGTGTGACTGCTGCGACTACACACAAAACTATTTCGATATTTCTGTGTCCATCTCTCTCACTTTACCCGAAACACGGACACGAGTGAACGAAACGGACAGAGTACATCGAAAATGTTTGGCAAGGTAGGTAGACTTACTAGATTTTAAATCGACTGACCGCTTGGGTATGTTCGAACTTTGATGTCGAATGTATGGGCTTACTGCCGCACAAATATGGTCACATCTCACCGGGAAAGGGGACAATTATTTTAAGTAGGACACGCCACGGAATTGCAGATAATACACTAGTAGCAAACATGGTTGGCACCGCCAAGCCTCGACCAAGAGAGAAAGGATTTCACTACTACATTTACCTATTGGCGAGTACATACTGGACCACCGTTATACAACAACTCAATATTATTAATTCCTGAGTAATCAATAAGTGCCTACAGTAATTTTTAAGTCCAACTTTGCGATTATTGCGGCGGTAAAGGAATCTCTCTCTAGGTTTCCGTTCTCGCCTAAATATCTAGCGCCGACGAATGTTTTATCGGTCAAATGTCGTAGCGTAAATTATCAATGATATATTAAAATTTTTAGAACTTTCGTGTTGCTTGCAAAAACATTCGTCGGCCTAGATCCTAACAATGCAAAACGAACTACTCTGCAAAACGTCTTCGATATATTCTCCTACTGCTCTTTCAGCCTAGAATACAGACACGAGCGAGAGAGACATGTAAAGTGAAGATATTGTAATCGTTTTGCGGGGTAGACCGTCGAGTAGCAAATGGCCGAAGGGCCGGCGGCAGTGTGTGTCGATATTGTATTCCGTAGCTGCGGCGGCTCCGTAGGTGCGTGGCGTCGCCCGGCGCGTGCGCTGCTTGATATGCGCCACCGCTGCAACAAGAACACAGATTAATATCTAGCTTTAAAAAGGACCTAAAAATTATTTCTTGCGCTGCTTCTTCTCAGCACTGGCCCATTTATTGTCCCGAAGCAGTGGTAGGGTTAATATTGGGACGTGTAAAAGTGCTTTTTAAAAGCCTATTTGCAAAAATAAATGAGTTTTATTCCAATCCTCTTTCGAACTTCAGCCCTCCCTAGACAAGTAGCAAAACTTGGTAAATAAGGATTGATCGGACATTTAAAAATATCGCCCGTATTCACGCACGATGCTTGCCTAAGTGAAGCAGCAAATCGAACCCACAGCGTTGAATAGAGCTCTATGATTGGTTCGTGTGTGACCCTGTGCGTCCACACGCACTGTGAGACCTCATAGTAATAGTAATGTTTGTGAATACGGGCGTATGTATAATAAATATGTTAGTAGTGACTGTAGAATAATGCACGTGCAGTTTAAGTTCCGATTAAATATGACATCACGATAAACATTGTGCGTAATTTATTGTATCATCTGGTCATTTAAAAGAAAAATTATCAATCCGCTGACAAATTAATGAATATACTATTTAGTGTTTCTAGAGCTGTATGAAAAATATATCCGGTGACGTCATATTCCAATCGATAAAATCTATCTAATCAACAATTTTACAGCTTTATGACTCAGATTTCAAAATACTTCGTTTTGTTTACTTGCACTTGCAATTTTTATCACACGCGTAACATATTTTTTAGAATCGAATCTGCAAGGCCAGTGAAAGTCAAAAGTTGTTATTCCAGTCTGTTTTTAGACAAGTTGTATCCACAGCTAATGGTGGAACTGAGAATAATATTGCAATGGAATTATCGATTTCAGGATAATACAAAATACAAATCACCGTGACGTCTGCCTTTATGAACCAATGATGGAAGAGAAGTCAATAATTTAAATAATAATCGGTAGTAATAGAATTAAACAAATAGACCCCAGATTTTACATGCCAAATAATACTACGTATTTCAATACACAGCGATCGTGACTTTATATGGTTGTAATAGGTTCGATATTGCAATAAATATATTAAAAGTCGGTGGAGTCAAAACATCATGTAGTATTTGATACACAGCGATCACGACCTTACGTGGTTATAATAGGTTCGATATTGCAATAAATGTATTAAAAGTGGGCGGAGTCAACACGTAAATCACGTAGTATTTGATACAAAGCAATCTTGACCTTACGTGGTTATAATAGGTTCGATATTGCAATAAATATATTAAAAGTGGGCGGAGTCAAAACGTAAATCACGTAGTATTTGATACACAGCGATCACGACCTTACGTGGTTATAATAGGTTCGATTTTTCAATACTCACATGCAGTCTACATGAAGTAATCGGGCGTCCGCCGCGTCACGTGCGGCTCGCCGCGCCGCGGGGCCGGGTCGAACTGCAGGCTGCAACCACACACACATCAACCACTACTCTATAACCCTACCATACGATAGTGGACCTTATGGTGAGGTCATAAACTTCAATATCCACAGAGCACATCGACTGGCGATCGAGAATATGGATGCTTTGATCCAATTCTACGTCATCACTTTGCGCTTCTAATCATTCCAATAGATTCTGAATTTAAAAATGTTAAAAACAAATGCAATCTATAATAAGGCGGCAGGCCGAACTGCAGGCTGCAACCACACACACAGGTTTTTTTTTGTGGCAAGCACGGCTTGTGCATTTGCCAATGACGAGGTCACACACAGGTTAAAAACTACTCTAACACCATCACGCGATTGTGGACCTTATGGCCAGGTCATAAACTTCAATATCCACAGAGCAGATCGACTGGCGATCGAGAATATGGACGCTTTGATCCAATTCTACGTCATCACTTTGCGCTTCTAATCATTCCGATAGATTCTGAATTTAAAAATGTTAAAAACAAATGCAATCTATAAGGCGGCCGGGTCGAACTGCAAGCTGCAACCACACACACGCGTTAAAACTAGTCTATAACACTGCTATGCTAAAGTAGACTTTATGGCCAGGTCATAAACTTCAATATCCACAGAGCAGATCGACTGGCGATCGAGAATATGGACGCTTTGATCCAATTCTGCGTCATCACTTTGCGCTTCTAATCATTCCAATAGATTCTGAATTTAAAAATGTTAAAAACAAATGCAATCTATAATAAGGCGGCCGGATCGAACTGCAGGCTGCAACCACACACACAGGTTTTTTTTTGTGGCAAGCACGGCTTGTGCATTTGCCAATGACGAGGTCACACACAGGTTAAAAACTACTCTAACACCATCACGCGATTGTGGACCTTATGGCCAGGTCATAAACTTCAATATCCACAGAGCAGATCGACTGGCGATCGAGAATATGGACGCTTTGATCCAATTCTACGTCATCACTTTGCGCTTCTAATCATTCCAATAGATTCTGAATTTAAAAATGTTAAAAACAATTGCAATCTATAATAAGGCGGCAGGGCGAACTGCAGGCTGCAACCACACACACAGGTTTTTTTTGTGGCACGCACGGCTTGTGCATTTGCCAATGACGAGGTCACACACAGGTTAAAAACTAGTCTATAACACTGCTATGCTAAAGTAGACTTTATGGCCAGGTCATAAACTTCAATATCCACAGAGCAGATCGACTGGCGATCGAGAATATGGACGCTTTGATCCAATTCTACGTCATCACTTTGCGCTTCTAATCATTCCAATAGATTCTGAATTTAAAAATGTTAAAAACAAATGCAATCTATAATAAGGGGCCGGGTCGAACTGCAGGCTGCAACCACACACACATCAACCACTACTCTATAACCCTACCATACGATAGTGGACCTTATGGCGAGGTCATAAACTTCAATATCCACAGAGCAGATCGACTGGCGATCGAGAATATGGATGCTTTTGATCCAATTCTACGTCATCACTTTGCGCTTCTAATCATTCCAATAGATTCTGAATTTAAAAATGTTAAAAACAAATGCAATCTATAAGGCGGCCGGGTCGAACTGCAGGCTGCAACCACACATACGTTCAAAACTAGTCTATAACACTGCTATGCTAAAGTAGACTTTATGGCCAGGTCATAAACTTCAATATCCACAGAGCAGATCGACTGGCGATCGAGAATATGGACGCTTTGATCCAATTCTACGTCATCACTTTGCGCTTCTAATCATCCCAATAGATTCTGAATTTAAAAATGTTAAAAACAAATGCAATCTATCATAAGGCGGCCGGGTCGAACTGCAGGCTGCAACCACACACACAGGTTAAAACTAGTCTATAACACTGCTATGCTAAAGTAGACTTTATGGCCAGGTCATAAACTTCAATATCCACAGAGCAGATCGACTGGCGATCGAGAATATGGATGCTTTGATCCAATTCTACGTCATCACTTTGCGCTGATAATCATCCCAAGATTTGCAGAATTTAAAAATTTACACATACACTTCATCATCATCATCAACAGCCCTTTACAGTCCACTGCTGGACTATGCTATTCTCTACTATTAGTGGAGGGTTTTGCCATAATCCCCACGCTTGGCAGGCGGGTTGGAGATCGCAGTTTAAAAGATTGATGTTTTAAGTTTAGAAAATTCATTGAAACAAGCTAAAGGTGTATAAAAAATACAGGTAAAATATGCAATACTTACAATGAGTACTTAAGCGCATCATCCAATTCCATAATAGCGGCTTGGTTGCCGCATCTGAAACAAACAAAACAACATTAGTCAGAGAATATTACAAACAAATGGGCTTGGCAGTCTGCAACTGAGGTAACTAACAGCGGGTCAGGCTCAGGGAGCGGCCATATTGTACGCAGTACCACAGAATAAGTACTGCGTACAGAAGGTTTCCTTCGCAAAGGTATTTAAAAAAATGTGTGCTCAATGTTGTTAACAATATGGTGTAATTTAGCTTGTCTCAAGAGTCGAGCACCATTTTGTTGACAAACGTCAGTGATCGGTACTGCGCCGAAGCCATAGGGCCGACTTCGGTAAAATTATGTGTGACGTGAGCTGCCAAACTGCGGAAAATGGCGGAGGAAATACATGAATTAAGCATGAATTATATTTTGTGTTTCTATTATTATTCAAGCAGTTAAAATACTGCACAGTATTAATTACACTACCGTTTTTACATACATAGTTTATTGTCTTTACAATGCAAATGGGTGAAGAATACTCGCGGAGATGAACAGGCCTTGCAGTACTCATTATTATACTATGCCGACGTACAACTAACCTCGAACTCGGTGGATCGACGATCTCGTGAAGGTCGCGGGAAGCACCTGGATTCATACAGCGCAAGACCGATCGTTGTGGAAATCTTTGGGGGAAACCTTATCTTTAAGCCGTCCTTTAGTTGAATAACTATTTTTACCATCCGCTTTGCAATGAAGGGAATTTGAACCTTTATTTCGAACTTCTATATTCTTCTGATTAATTTCGTTGCGGGTCCAATGACAGTTTAACTTTCCCCCGGGACAAAATTGACCTTCATTGGTTGGGTTTTTGTGGCGGTCAAGCTGTAAATCCTGGCTACACAGGAGTTGCAGTGGTGGGAACGAGAGGTGGGAATAGTCCCGTTAACTATTTTTACCTATAGCAGTAGTTGGGCGCGGAGAAGATGGTGACGACGTTCCGGTCGTGGCACCAGTCGTAGCCCTCCATGACGAGTTAATGCGCGCGGGACACGAGCGTCAGCCCGTGGCTGTGGTGACGTCTCAAGTGAGACGAGACTCACCTATAGCAGTAGTTGGGCGCGGAGAAGATGGTGACGACGTTCCGGTCGTGGCACCAGTTGTAGCCTTCCATGACGAGCTGGTGCGCGCGGGACACGAGCGTCAGCCCGTGGCTGTGGTGACGTCTCAAGTGCGAGACGAGACTCACCTATAGCAGTAGTTGGGCGCGGAGAAGATGGTGACGACGTTCCGGTCGTGGCACCAGTTGTAGCCTTCCATGACGAGCTGGTGCGCGCGGGACACGAGCGTCAGGCCGTTGCTGTGGTTGAACGTCTCCGAGATGTCCTGCCCGAAGGTGTAACCCGCGCCACGGGGAGATATGCCCCATCCGCCTCTGTGGGCAAAAGAAATGAAAGATTAGTCTATGGTTACAGAAAAAGATTGTGAGGATGGATAAGTGGAAAATACCCCATTCGCCTCTCGTATGACAAGCCAAGAGTACTTTCTTAGATCCTGTATGCATTCCGTAGTCTGGCTAAATCCGGGTACTCATTAGCGAGCTGTAAACGTAACCGTTGCATGCACTGTAACCAAAAAACATAGTGTGTACGACGTACGTGGTTCGCTAACCTACGAATTTAATTCATCAGTATTATTATGCATCAGTACATTTTGTTACCAATATAGGTACCTTTTTCAACAATCGGAGAATGCCATTGCCTTACTAAATCAATAAATAATCATTTTATCGCCCACAACTATCACAATCAAAAATAAATATTAATCAACCGCACAGTAAGATAGCTTCAGCAGTCAAAGATAATGCGTGCTGGAGACGAAACGTGTCGAGTTTTTACCATAATCGCCGCGATAATTACCTACTTTAAACCTATACTTAAATGCGGCCTTTATACGTAGTAATGCTTCTATTTGTTTCAAGCGGTAAACGTGCAAATTACTCTGACAGTGTTGCTCTGCAAATTGAATTATCTTATGACAGCCTCAAAGGACAAAAATATTCTGAATTTCACATCTTTGTTGATGTGTCATACAATGGACACCCTTTTCAAATGACAACACAATACACAGTTGCTGCGTTTATAGCTTGTATTTCTAACAACTCATAACTCGACAGTACTAACGAACACAATCGCGTCTTCTCGCTTCAAGTATGTTCATTAGCCAATCTAAAAGAAACTAATGTTCAATTATTGTACACCGTTTTTTAACACTGATGAATGGAGAAATGCTGTAATTATTGCCGAGAAAAGAACTGCTGTTGAAAATCTCGCCAACAAATTACATTAGTTGACTTGACAATGATTGAATAAGTACCACATACTGCCCTCGATGAATTTAGAGCCACCTTGTTACTACGGCTTTTGTTGAGTGGTCTTTAATAGGCTCGGCCTTAGTAAAAAAACCTAAGGGCGTAGTTGGGGCCAGCTAAAGGTCTCACTCGTTATCAAGATCGCAGTATCCTACTATCATATCGCGTCTAACCGTCTCCTTCAAATTTCAATGATTGGCAGTCTTACCTGTCATCAGGATCGCCGTAACCTATTTATCATACCGAATCTAGCTATCTCGCAAACGTGGTCGCCCCAAGCAAACTTGGCGGCGTACTGTAGCAGACGAGGCGAAGAAAATCGGCAAGGAGTGAGATCAAACGCAAAGCTCAAGGCCGAACGCGATGGTGGACTGTTGTGGACGCCCTCTGCCCCATCTAGGGGACATAGGATCTTAAGACAAGTAAGTCATCTAGCTGTATCTGTGCTGTGGCTAAGGCGATTACCACACTGCACCGCGCTCCGCCGCGGTACGCGGGACGACAGATTTAATCATTGTATGCAAGTACTTCAGTTTGTATAGAAAACACGCGCGGCACAACACACTGACAACTCGTCTGCGCGCGGGACTCTTTATATGTAGTCACGCGGACCGCGGTGCAGTGTGATAATCGCCTAACTAACGGGAGTGGCTCGTCTATCATCAGTGTCGCCGTCTCCTACAAGTAGCTGCAATGTGGCTCACCTATCATCGGGGTCGGACCAGAGCAGATCGCACATGGGCCCCTCGTGAGGCACTTCTTGTAAGCGGTCGGACGCGCACCTGTCACCCCGGTTGCTGTATTCTACTATCATGTCACGCCTCGCCGTATCCTACTATCATGTCACGTCTCGCCGTCTCCTACAAGTCACCTGTCATCGAGGATGCCTTATGTTACTATCAAACCGCGTCCCACAGTCTCTGCAAGTTTTAATGACCTGTCATCAGGATCGCCGTAACCTATTATCATACCGCGTCTCGCTATCTCCTGCTATGTCTGTGGCTAACTAACGGGAGGGGCTCGTCTATCATCGGTGTCGCCGTATTCTGCAAGTAGCTGCAATGTGGCTCACCTGTCATCGGGGTCGGACCAGAGCAGATCGCACATGGGCCCCTCGTGGGACACCTCCTGCAGGCGGTCGGACGCACATCTGTCACCCCGGTTGCCGTTTCCTACTATCATGTCACGCCTCGCCGTATCCTACTATCATGTCACGTCTCGTCGTCTCCTACAAGTCACCTGTCATCGAGGATGCCTTATGTTACTATCAAACCGCGTCCCACAGTCTCTGCAAGTTTTAATGACCTGTCATCAGGATCGCCGTAACCTATTATCATACCGCGTCTCGCTATCTCCTGCTGTGACTGTGGCTAACTAACGGGAGTGGCTCGTCTATCATNGCCTCCACTCCAGAACCTTGCTGCCCCATCGGCCATCATTTCAGCGTACTATGTGATCTGCCCATTGCCATTTCAGCTTGCTAATCCGTCGGGCTATGTCAGCGACTTTAGTTCGTTTACGGATCTCCTCATTTCTGATTCTGTCTCGTAAAGAAACCCTGAGCATAGCCCTCCCCATAGCACGCTGTGCAATTTTAAATTTATTTATAAGACCTATTGTAAGAGGCGAGAGTGTACGTTTCCGAGCCGTGTTCTATCACTGGTAGAGGTAACACACACTGATTAAAGAATTTCGTCTTTAGGCACTGAGGTATTTCGGACGAAAAGATGTTGTATAGTTTCCCGAACGCAGCCCAGCCGAGTTGGATTCGACGATGTACCCTTTTCTCGAAATTTAATCTACCTAGCCGAATCGTTTGTAAGAGGAAGACATACTTGTCAACAGTCTCGAGAATCGAGCTCTAACCGAAACATGGACGTTGGACCTAAGCTTCGTTTTGTCCACGTANTGCAATGTGGCTCACCTGTCATCGGGGTCGGACCAGAGCAGATCGCACATGGGCCCCTCGTGGGACACCTCCTGCAGGCGGTCGGACGCACATCTGTCACCCCGGTTGCCGTTTCCTACTATCATGTCACGCCTCGCCGTATCCTACTATCATGTCACGTCTCGTCGTCTCCTACAAGTCACCTGTCATCGAGGATGCCTTATGTTACTATCAAACCGCGTCCCACAGTCTCTGCAAGTTTTAATGACCTGTCATCAGGATCGCCGTAACCTATTATCATACCGCGTCTCGCTATCTCCTGCTGTGACTGTGGCTAACTAACGGGAGTGGCTCGTCTATCATCGGTGTCGCCGTCTCCTGAAAGTGACTACCTAACATCTCGCTTACCTGTCATCAGGGTCGGACCAGAGCAGATCGCACATGGGCCCCTCGTGAGGCACCTCTTGCAAGCGGTCGAGCGCTCGGATGTGGTCCAGCGTGTCGATGGAAGGACTGAGCCCGCCGTGCAAGCAGAAGATCTGGCCGTCGACCAGCGCCGTCAGCGGCAGGAAGTCGAACAAATCGGTGAAGTGCTTCCAGACCGACGCGTTGCCGTATTTGCGCAGACACTCGTCGTAGAAGCCGTACACTTGCGTGATCTGGCGCGACTCGTGGTTGCCGCGCAGGATCGTTATTCTCTCGCGGTATCTGACCTGCAAGGGAGGAAGGTCAGAATCAGTTCATGTTACAAATAGGAACTTAAAAACTTAGCGGCATTATAGTTTCAATTTCACAGATGTTCAGAAATCTACAAGTGTATGTCCATGCATTGCCCGTAATCCTCCTGCTTAGTTCTACCTGGTAGTGCCACGATTAATTTATTGTTAGATGGCCTAACTATCCATAATATCATATTATCCAAAGAACCACTGTAGGACCACAGTAAATTATTTTCCAAGTGGTTCTATGATAGGACTGAGCAGTAGAACTATGGGAAACTTACGTAAAGTATATTTCCATTGTTTTGCTACAAATCAATTTACCATGTTTGACACTATTGGAAGTTTTGTTTTTAAAAATCTGATGTCGTTTAACTAAGTTCTAGTCTAAAAATAGCTCTATATCATTGACTCAACTATTTAGACTACTTGGCCTACGACGCATCTAAACAACACTATGAACCGCAACTAAGGCACGAACCACACAAACTCATATTCCTAGTTCTATTTATGTTGTTTTATGTAAGCAAAAATGACAGACAATTTGTAAGCACAATATTTTCATCGATTCACGGGTTTACTGACGCTTTTTACGTAGTGGTTGCGTTAATACCCCTCACGCAATATTCGCGAGAGGATGAAGACCTTTACTTTATTCTATTAGATGCGTCAAATTCATTAATCTATGTAAACAGTGCCTTATACATATCGCCATGTATCACGTTACGTATTCGTAACCGGCATCCATGCAGACTGAATATAATGCAATTAGATAACAAACATCGTCTGTTACTTAATACATCCAATTTATAACTAAAACACTTAGAAATGGTATACATAATATAAACATTCTTTAGCGACAGAAAGAGAAAAATATAGTATGTTTACATAATAATTAATTGACTGCTTATTGATTAGCTGTTTCCTATATTGTGTAGTCAAAACAAGTAAGTAGGTATTTTGACATTAGAACAAGGTCAAGATCATTGATACTCATCAACCTTTGCTCGTAGGTATAAAATAGTTTACAAGTTTTACGGTGCGTACACGTGTTATTCACAAACAACATAGACTAAAAAGTCATAGACTAAAAATTGGCAGTTTGGGCAGGCATGTTCATCTCCGCGAGTTTACATCGATAACAAAACACGCACGATGGCCCACCTACAGGATACTATTCGACAAGGCCTCACATACGAGCGAACATTGACTCACGCACGCGTATCCTTGTGTATGATGGAAGAAAATAAAGAAAATGGTGTACTAAATACTGTGCAGTATTTAACTGCCTAAATAATAATAATAATAACACAGAATGTACTTTTTTAAGTTGCCTCAAAGCACTGAGAGGTAAATAAGTAGTTAATATTATTTATGATAATTCATGGTAAATCATGTATTTCCTCCGCCATTTTCCGCAGTTTGGCACCTCACGTCACATCATTTTACCGAAGTCAGCCCTATAGCTTCGGCGCAGTGCCGATCACTGACGTTTGTCAATAAAATAGTGCTTGACTCTTGAGACAGGCTAAATTACACCATATTGTTAATGACATTGAGCATACATTTTTTTAAATACCTTCGCGAAGTAAAACTTCTGTACGTAGTACTTATTATTATTCTGTGGTTTGGGTGCTAAAATATCTGTAGTATGTCTAGAAAACACAAATCACAGCCAGTGCGTCAGTTTTTCCCGAGGTGTGAAATCATCATATTCTAGGTTTAATTATTGTATGTAACTATAATAAGAAGATGTAGAAGTCGCGATTGACGAGATAACAATTAAATACAAAATCACGTATTGATATAAAAAATAATTACTGACATGTATTTCTGGTGTGTATAATAATTAATTGCATACCTAATTAAACCACAGTCAATGAGACTTTACGTTATAGTTTTAATAGTAATAATATTTGATATCTTAGTCATGATGACCTCACAATCTGCAGACTAATTTAAATTTTATCAACACTACTTGATAGCACATAAGCTAACCAAAAATCTAGAGCATATTTTACTTATATTAAAGTAGAGTATACTTTATTTAGATTGCATAATAACATAGGTTATGTCGTAGATGCATCTTTTACAGACAACCAGCCATCATATATGCATGGAAGATCTCGCAAAGTAATTCAATCGTAAATACTGAAACGCGGATATGACGTCTTGGGTGGTGCTAGTATGCATACATTTTCGTGCAAAATAGCACTTTTTATTACTTCAAGAGATTTCAGTGTTTGTTTACCTTCAAGTCTGTAAATAATAAGAAAGAATAAAAATAAATGTACATAATACTTGTGCACTTGTCTTTCAGATCTTTATTTATTGTTTAGTTAAATGATACGTATTTTATCTAAAATTTTAAGCATTGTTCTATTATTGTGCATACATTCCTAAGTAACAGGAAAATTTTATGTAAAGGAATGTTATTATTACATCAGAACACATTAATACTGTGATCTGCGGTCATGAATATTGATTTGAATAGACTAAAATGTACATTCGCTGCGTACTTTAAATACTATTGAGAGAAAAAGTTTAGCATTTAAATCATATTAAACCTGAATTTTGGAAAACCTTGGGGGAGGCCTTTGTCCAGCAGTGTACGTCATTTGGCTGAAACGACGACGACGAAACGTGAATTTATAAAAGAAAAATACATAATAGCGTCAATAACGCCTAGAGTTCATCAGGTGCGATTGTGGTCAAATAACTGCCTTGTTATGCATCAAAAAACAGTTAAAGAAGTTAGGCATAACAAAGTGAAAAATCATAATTCCACGCACCAAATCTTGAGCTAGCTTGAAGAATTATTAAGAATTTGGATCCACATGCTGTGACAATCGGTCTGTGGTCAAGCGAGAGTTAATGAAACCACTCTGCTTAGAGAAGAAGTCAGAAAAAGTCTGATCTTGGAGATCTTTGGACTAAAGTAGAAAAACAAGGTATATAGAAATTAACACCACAAACGTCAGAGATGACCCGTCGCTTTTGTATCTTATGGGCAACAACAACAGTGTCTATAGCCTGACCAGGAACATAAAAACCCTGGCATAGAGGCGCGTCAATTGCATTTGATAGTGCAACACTGAGTACAGTCGTACCTGTGTTAAATTAATAGGCTAACTTTATGTATCAGGATTCAGGATTACGGGCTAATTTGATATTTTCATAAATTAACGAAAAAATATTATTATAGGTAGCCTGGTTTAAATGAATTAAATGAAACCATCAATCGAGCTAGTAGGATTTATTTTATTATTCATTAATAATATAATCAAATTCAGAACTTGAATATTCAACTGCAATGTCTGCTCATGAACGCTTCAAACTCGGTACTTCTTTCCCAATTCCATAAAATTCAACACTTAGAAAGTGACTAAAAAAAATTAAAATATTATATGGTTGAAACAAACCACAGCTAATTTTCATAGTGGACTGTACTATACGATAAACATGTCAGTCAATTTGACAACCTTTGTCGGAAACATTATTCAATGAAAATATTGTCCGAATCCTTAGTATTTCTCTTCGACCAATACTTTAACACATTGTGAACCACTTTTCTTTCACGACTAAAAAAAGATTTTAGCAATTTAATTCACAAAATCAATTGCGCACATCTATATATATAAAAATGAAACCCGTTTCGCGTTGTCACGGCATCACGTGTGAACGGCTGAACCAATTTCGATAATTCTTTTTTTTAAATGTTTGTGGAAGTCCAAGGATGGTTCTTACGGAAAAAAATATTAAGAAAATCTCTACGCTAAGGCGGTACGAAGTTCGCCGGGTCAGCTAGTTTAAAATAAAGTTTGTTTACACTTTGACAGCAATAGACTGACATGCAAGGTGACATGTCAATGAAGTTTTCAGTTACTGTTGCCATTAAAAGAAATTAGTACCATTAGTTTTCCGCAACATGGCGAGGGTTTTTATGTTCCTGGTTAGGTTAAACAACCCTTTAGTCGGGCATTATCCGTCACTTAGTGACAGAACTAACACTCCTTGAAGGCGAAGTGAAATGATCTCACCACATTTTTTGTGGTGGTTTCCTTCCAACTACAGACCACGTGTTTAAAATGATTACGTCTATACCGCGTTTTTATGTGGGCGTACGTACAAATATATGTCATATGTTGTTTGTAATGTGAAGTTAAATAGACGGGATCATTTCAATCGCGAACAATTGATCGAAATGGCATCAAATGATGTAGTGACGAGACTCACGTGTGTCAAATAAAATCTGTATACGTCAATAAACGAGTACATTTTAAGTGCAAAGGACTGCACTACAATAGTATAGGCGTGTGTGCAGTGCCTCCCTAGTAGTTTGTTCAACTTCGAAATAAAACAAATGCAGGCTACTCTTTCAGCGTTCATGTCAACTGCGAGAGAGACAGAGAGAGAAATAGAGACTCAAGTCGATATACATTTTCAGAAGTTGTACTAGTATTTGAAAAAATGTCTGTCGATCAAAACTACGTGATTGCCCAATAACAAATAACTCGAGTTTGTATTGTTGAATGAAATGCCAATGCAAATAAAATTGTGAAATAATCGCAATGTAGCGTGCAGCCTGGCATAGAGCATAAGCTTTCCATAGTTTGGGAAAACAAATTTCGCTCCAAACTTCATGATAATTGATTTTGAATTCGTTTCAATTTATGAGTGGGAATTACATTTTATTTATTATTCGGTACGGAAAAACTCATGAAAAAAGTAATTAGTTACATCTTGTTTGTTATAAATAGTCGATTAAGAAAGAAGAATATCAAAAATTGTCTCAGGCCGCGATGGCTCGTTAAATCTGAATTTCTTTTAAGCCCTATCTATCCAGTGAAAGTAAACCGCGATATGATCTGGTTGATAAGACAGTAATATACACAGTGACCAAACCGTCTCAGATACGGCAGATAAGGAAATTGTCTCCACTCACGTACACAAGAAATGGGGCGTTACTAGTTTTGTATCTTCAATACAATAACATACGACTTTATTATCGAGGCTGATTAGTAATGTAAAGAATTTTTGCTCCATATTCCTTTTTCCATCTATGTATATTCAAAACTCCAGCCAGCCGGTATAGGAATTAAGTATACCCAGAATGTTACAGGATACTTTTTAATCCAGGAAAATCATTTTCCAAGAAGGGGCAACACAATATCCTTTTGTTATCCGAGTCGCGTAACAGCCAGTTGATTTAATAGGCCTGAGTGTTAGTTATAGATTCAGTTAAAATCTTCTGAAAAACGCAAGCCTATGGATTTCCATACCATGGTTCTGCTGACAACGCCCTTTTTCATTGGTTCAACTGTTTATGTTTCTAACCATAAACCAACTGGTAGATCTACAAAGAAAGCAAGCCACAGTTATTTCAATAGTATTTTAAAACAGGCCTAAGAACGGTTTCGCGCAATCCGTTGGTCGCGTCCACAGTTGGTGTTGCGAATAAATAAAATTTGCATACACACAAACCAGACGCGACCGATCCAATCTTTCACCGGTATTGAGCACATGTTACATCACTAACAATCCATAGATTAATAAACAAATGAGGTTCATTAAAACTTTGCTGCTGATTTTAGATATTTAGTTGATTAAAAAAACAACAGACTGCGCTGTTAATTTTACTTCGAATGACGCAAGATAAGTACTAATTATGTCACTTTTGAGGAAGATCGTGTGTGCAAGGGAAATCCATAGCCGATAGTTAATTCCATAATGTGCGGGAAGAACAAGCGTGAGAATCTTTTCCATTCTAGTGGTTGGATGAAATGTTTAGAAAACACAACGCAACCAGACAAAATAGTGACAAATTAACCTTCACAGTGCACCAAGTGGTCTAATTGGCCTAACTACCTAAAGACGACAATGTTCATAAATAACCCATAACCTATCCTAAAAACCCATCTTACTTTTGGTTAAAAAAAGGTAGAAACCCGTGTATCTAAAATAAGCCATAACAAACTCGGGGACAGGGACTTGAATTCATAATGTATCCCAACTAATATTATAAATGCGAAAGTAACTCTGTCTGTCTGTCTGTTACGCTTTCCCGCTTAAACCTCGCAACCGATTTTGATGAAATTTGGCATAGAGATAGTTTGAGTCCCGGGAAAGAACATAGGATAGTTTTTATCCCGGTTTTTGAAACAGGGATGCGCGCGATAAAGTTTTTCTGTGACAGACAAAATTCCACGCGGGCGAAGCCGCGGGCGGAAAGCTAGTAAGTAATAAAGTCTTCATTACTAATGCATGTTCTGTTGTCATTTTTTCTATTCCACGTATTGATTTAACCCTAATTAGGTCAATCGAATGATATTAAGTAACTAGTAAAAGTTCACGGAAAAAAACAATAATGTGGCTTGCATGTATAATGTGGCGAACACAAATAGCTCGAGCAATCTTATTGTAAACAACCGAGGTCGCTTTTGATAATCTTATTGATCCTGACTATACTATACTATTAATATGAATCACGGCATGTGTACGGGTCATTTCCTTAGTCATTGCTCTTCTATGAATGTACTTTAAAACTTATTTCAATGATAAAAGAATCTCGATTACTTCAGTAACTGAGCTTGTCGGGAAATGCTTTGGCCAGTGGAGCATGAGGACTGCTAGTGGGTTATGTGGGATTCTTCTCCCTGCCAGAAGGGCGGAGACTAACCCAATGGTGTCATCCGGTGCTATAGAAACGGAGCCGCGAGTTAGTGTCCTAAAATTGGACATTCGTCCGCGACTTACGGATATCCTAACTTCTAGTCTTTGATTGGCCTATTTCCACCGCTGCAGGAATCGTTATTTATTTAATTCAAGGAACTATCTCCGTCTCTCCAAATCTTTGATGTAGCGAAATGATAGATGAAACAACTTTCAACTGATAAAGCTCCGTATTTTCATTATCAAAATCAAGTTAAAGAGTGGCTTGTCAGCGAAACAGGTCTCTCCACAATATCCTCAGATCGAGAAAGCTTCAAGGTCGAAGAAAATCGGTATTAGAGGTAATTTCTACAACCGGATACTTGTAATTACTTTCGGTACTCTACCAAAAAGTTGGGCCTATAATTTGACAATACTGATCGCCCACGCAATACCTATTTTAGTGATATTAGAAACTTCAACGTTTCGATTTCTGTTAAGTCTGAACCATCTTTTGTCTCGTTTCTGTCAAAAAACGTTGAGAAATAAATTGGTTTACATAACACACATACCTATTTGTTGTTATTTTTCATTTGTTATGATTAATACAAGCATTATCGTGGTGCATTTTAGCATTCGATTAGATTAGATTGAGCAGGTATTCAGTGTCTATCTTCCTTCGCAAGGTAATGTTTGAAGCAGCCCACAATCATTGCATAAATTGATTGCATGATTCCCATGTTCAATTAGAATCAATAATTGCAATTAAGGTTAACTTGAAATTAATTTAGAATTATAAATGCAGACATCATAAATAGACGATATAATCGAGACACGTCATCAGCTTATAAAGTTTTGCATAACAATATTAGCAAGAAGAAAGGGGTGAAATCTAAACGAAGGATAAACAATCAACAGTGAAATTACAATGTGATTGTTACGACTCATTGACTAATATTGTTTCTTATTGTCATAATGACGAGTTACTGTTTTGTATTTGGGCGACAGTAATTCCCACGATATCAAATTGTATTCACCTAGATTCTACAGCTTAAGTTGTCAACCAAATGATTTTTGATATCATGTCTGCAACATACAATACGAACCGTTCAAGTGCGAGTCGGTCTCGCAAACGAAGGGTTCCGTCCGCGCCATCTAACTAGATTTGACTCCAAAGTCCCTGATGTTGTTTTTTTTAACAGTTAATGGGCGTACATTCAAGACACAAGTTACTACACTTCAACACACTATAAACTCTTACCAAGACAGATGCTCTGACAGATTTCATTAATCCCTTGTATCACGCGAAGTATTATTGGAACATGCAATTAGAAAATGTAGTGCGAATGTGCGACTTTTCTACACTGAAATAGGTATTCTTTCACTTTACACGTGCCTAATTAATATTCTCATTGTGCCAAGTCGAGTCATCATCAGGGCTAGTTCTATTTCTACGTGTCATATCGATACTTGCATGCAGTTAGTAGCTGATAGGAAAGTTATTTAAAATTTATTTTTTACGTAAGACCAAACCTTGTTAGTCAAATTCACACGTTCGCAAAAAGGGCGTCTATTTTTATGGTCGACCTTTTCTAATTTTATTTTGTTTTTAAATCCTGCGATGTACCTGCTTACGTCGGTAAAATCCGTAAATTAGACATAAACCTAGTATGTTAACCTCAATCCATCAAAAAATGGTAACACAGAAGTCAAAGAAATCTCAATGAAGCTAAGAAGAAAGTCTCAAATGTGTCCAAGTCTACCACGGTTCTGGCTCTACCACGAACCTACTGGCGACACCACGAACCTCTTCTGAGTATCATGTCCTCCAAACTCCTGTTGTACAAAAACTTTATCCACTAATTCCACGAACCCATTTTAACTATGTCAACTCCTGCTGTTGAAAAACGTGATCTATCCACTAACCTTAAGAGCGACGAGCAATGTGACAGTCTCGACGCTGTAGTAGCCGCGGTCGACGTAATCCCCCATGAAGAGGTAGTTGGTGTCGGGCGATCGGCCTCCGATGCGGAACAGCTCCATCAGGTCGTGGAACTGGCCGTGCACGTCCCCGCAGACGGTCACCGGGCATTTTACCTCTTGCACGTTTGACTCTTTAGTCAGGATCTCCTTTGCCTGCAATCAAAAAGAAAGATAAAGGTAAGAAAAGCAAAATTAACCACATCCATATAAGGCATGCGTTCGAGACGCTAGTAAATGGCGCTAAAATGCAATATTTGTGTGTTGAATCATCATTATTTATCAGGTCATTTTTTAGAATGCAGAACAAAGCAGGTATTTGACCTAATGTCAGTCAGGACTAAAGGAACCAGGAAAACCAGAGGAAAATGGAAGATTGGCCAACACTCCCCATGTTAGAGACACATTGGTGAGGCCAGTAGGCCTAAGATGCGCGCCGTGATAACTTTTATCGACGTCAAAATGTATGGGCAATATCGATAAAATGGCGTGATAACCGCTTATCGCGGCGCGCATCTTAGGCCTACTGATGTTTGTACGTTTCTCCCTTAGTCGCTTCTTACGACACCTACGGAACAACTGGGGATGCTTCTATTCTACTCTGCCGGAATCACACGGCAAAAATTATATCGAATAATATTGAAATGTTTAAAGAAAAGCAGTCAAGGTTGCCAGTGTCTTCTTTATAATAGTTGGTTTGGCAAACGCTAAAATGTAATCTAACCGCGTCAAAGTCAAATGAATTACACATTGTACCTACCTACACAGACTTCATAAATTATTGTTTCACATGCAACCTCATTAACTGAATGGATGTTAAGCTTCATTAATTTATAGTAAGTAAGTAACATCGTACTTTTGCCCCCTAAAACGACCCTACCTAGTCATAGAGGGTACTCCGCGTCCTTTATGTACTTCAGTGGTTCCCAAAGTTGTGACGTAGTCGCCCCCTACGACAGGCTTACGCTGCATACATCACAAACTAATAAAAGGAAGGTCATTCATTGATAAGCTGATTAACGTAGTAGTTAATGCCTAGCAGCAACTAGGTTTTGTTTTCTTTATCCAACAGAGTTAGCTTTATTTGGTGTGGTAGGTACACATACGACTACATAACCGAATTCAATTAATGAGACTGACGATTATGGTTTTTTGATTGAGAATCAGTGGCTTAAAGATAAGTTCACTGACTTTCGACCTTGACATGTTTTTGCAACTTATTAATGGTTGCCATCAGTCAAATTCATTCAGTCATCTATAATACCTCTATTAGGTACTCATGATATAATAGATTTTAAGATTAATGATGATCAGATTCCCTAAATTCACAATAAATTACTATTGATTGTGATTGTAAAAAAGAGTGGTGTAAGAGAGAAGAAATATTAGAATTCAAATAGAGTCTGTTTACACCTACAGCATAAGCTGTGTGTGGAATTCTGAATTTATAATTAACATCATTGCTTTTTGCTAATTTTTGGGAAGTCACTAGAAAATGGTATTACAGTTAAATACTTGATCTTGATGTATGACCCCTAAATGCAGACTATCATTCTTTACCTACAACTTGTGTATTCTTCTACAAATTAAACATATTAATAATATACAACTACAAATACAAAAAACAACAAACAATGCAGAGGGCAGATTTATATTTTAATGTATTAATTTGCTTTTGCTTACTTTAAACCAAAACTGGCTTTAAAAATTTCAAAGTGTGTTTTGAATAGTCATTATAGCATGTTGTAAATCGTGAAGGTCACACATTCATGTAAGACCTACACATCAACTAAGGCTAGGTTAATTAGCATTTTGTTATTGTAGCAATAAAATCTATAATTGTAATTTTATTGATATCAAATGCTAATAAGAAAATAAAGGTTTGTTTAACTTGCATGTTTAACCAAATGCGACTTCTAATTCAAGTTAAATTAATAACTAAAGAATTACACAAAACCTAGGCAGCTCAAGGTTTCTGCATCACAATGAGTGGACAATTGCAATATCTGATGATTTGATAATGATTCATTTCATAATGCTAATGATTTGTTGTCTCAAATCTACAATCGAATCAGAGCAAATAAACATGGAGTGTGTCAATTGTGTCAAACAAATGATTGACCAATTAACCCAGAGAGGAAGGCACGTCAAGCTAAACATAGTGGGGTCTTATCTAGGTGTAATACAGGCTATTTTTCAACAAAAAAGTATAGTCCGATGTGCATTAGCTAGTTATCTACTAAAGCACCAAATAATGCACTTATATTCTCTATTCATCGTTGTTTATAGCCTTTGTTATATTTATCTGTGTTAGGTATTTAAAATGCACTAAAATAAACTACCAGTTTGCAATGTTATTGGCTTTGTAAAGTAAATAAACGAAAATTGGAAAATATTACTATGATTCTTGAAAATATTTAGCCCTGTTTAAATTCCTGCCAAACACTTCCTGTCATAATGTTATCCTAATATTTAATCTGCATACAAACTGTTTAATAAATAAATACCTAAATGACCTTCACACAGTTATTGAACCAAATACACTTTGATGATCTTTATCAAATGCTTGTTTTAAAATAGGTAATACTTAGTACAAAACAAAACTGTTTTTCATGAAAATGGAATATGAAATAATATTCTACTAATGAAACAATATGCAATAATATACTTTGATTCCTTCAGCTTTATAATAAATTATGTTCCTGAAGAAGTAGAACCATTTATACCTGACAAAGTTACTATTGGAAATACTATTGGAGGGGGTGCAGATAAGTTTTAAATTGCAAAAAAGCATAATAATATTTTTTGGTATAATTTATACCACAATGAACATGAAACAGTTATCCTTGTCATGATAGTTTTAAAATTAGTATCATAAATTAGGCAAGTTGTATGATAACAATCCTGTCCACGAAGATAACATTCAGTCACATATTACATGTATGTATTTAGGATAAATTTACACATAGTAATAATTAGCACATTCACCAGTAACATCCTCCTGATAATAATGGCAACTACATGTATTGCAAGTGGATTTTAAATTACCAATATAAGAAGGTTTATTATAAAATAAATAAATAAAAACCCTTGGCTCTATGAAGATAAGTTAAAATAAGTATTTCATAGTATTACAACACAAATTACAAATCTAATTCAGTTTATTTAGGCTAAGTGTAATTTAATGTTATGCACATTATCATAGGTGTTTAGAGATAAAGCAAACTTTGTAGGTAATCTAAAAACTAATTTATGACCAGGCAGATCATACATAGATCAATAAAGGTATATACTATGAGTTTATTATATCAGTTTACTATGGAAATTGCATTGACCAATATTTACTAGCTTACTATTGGTTTTAGGATACTGAAGAGTCTACCCTAAACTATAAACAAAACAAATACTAAAAACCCTTCAGTCCTAGAGTCAATCAATGAGCGCCGAAAGGCGACGCGCGTCGATGCACTCTTTGGAAAAGATCAATGACAGATATGCCAAAAAATATAAACATAGATGGGTATTTTGGAAAAAAACAACAAATAAAAGTTATGACCATTTCCGCGGGGTCTAAAAATATCATTGAACCAATTAGGCTATCATCAATCCGGAAAACGAATTGATGCCTGGGTGTGGTAGAACACTTGCATTCAGCAGCTAGAACCGATTCCAAGTGGATGGAAACGATGCACGAGCACTATTAGCTTGCAAATACACGCTAAATGGTTAGAACTACGACTAAAGTACGTTACATACGCGTTGTTACTACCCATTGAAGTAGGTATATGAATCATTCAGCAGTGTATAGGTTTTGACAAACTACGAACAGTAATGTATGTATAACTTCGTAAATCTATTTTTCAATCTACACAATAGATAAAATGTTACGTTACCTTGTCGCATAACGTTTTTACTTGATTTTCTGTCAATTGCTTGCATTCGTTTAGCTGCTCTATCCATTGATCCAGTTCTTTTAACGACGCCTTGTCCTCCATGCTTTGTGTCTGTAGATTTAACGCACGAGACGTTAACTTGGATATGAAATGTCTTTATCTCTCAAATGTACACAAAACCATGCGAATTAACTATTTTACACTTTGCCCAGAAAACTGACTACGGCGGACACTTACAAAATGGCGTAGGTACCACTTGCGTGACGTCAATTTTGCGACAAAATCCACCTACTGGTGATTTTTGGAACTGCTGTATGATGCTTCTAATAGATGCATTCAGTTATTTTAAATTAATTGTGTCACAAAAATAACGACTGATTATTTATTAAGAATTAGCAGAAACTTACTTTTAATGAACCTGAAGGTACAATTTTTGCTTTAGCCATGGTCTGCAAAGCTTCAACGTTAAGGTCCATTTAGCTGATTATGCGAGACAATTTTTATTGGTATTACCGATATTATCTGGAATTACTATAAAACAGTAGATTAATTTGTATTTTATTATAAACTTGCATAAAATACTGAAAACTTTTCTTGAACGTCAAAGAAAAATTGAACTGCTGAATTTTCTTTTGAAATTTTGCTAGGTGACAGACACCATTCTTTTTTTACTTCAAGCGTCTTCTGGGTCTGGGTCATAGAGGTCATAGTAATGAAATGAAGACTATTAGAAAGAAGATCTTTGTATTTCAAATTAATTTAATTTATAGAAAGAAATAAGAACAATGAACTTTTAAACTGGTGCAAGGTTCAGGGAACGAACTTTACCAATATCTTCTCCCTTAAATGCTATCCACTCGAAGAAATTTTTTCAATACCGTTATTAATAACGGTTAAACCTTTATTATTAGAGTGGCAACACCGTAAAATACTTTTTAAAAAGTTTTTGATTTCCGGTTTCAGTTTGACGTTGACACTTGACAGCTTTCAATTCGCCGATTCTCTCTTTTCGTTTTCGGTTGTGTCGGAGATAGGTTGCTGGCAGGCATTTCCTAAAAATGAGTGAAACTCTGAAGCTTCGAGGCACTTTGTGCGGTCACAATGGCTGGGTTACGCAAATTGCTACTAACCCAAAATACCCTGACATGATTTTATCATCTTCCCGAGGTAAATATTGCTATTTTAATCTCCACGCTAACATACGACATGTCTTGAGACGATGTTAAATCTTTGGTAATCCGACTATATTCAATCGATCAGTAACATCTTCTTTTATTAATGTATAGTCTTTTATTGAACAATGCACGTGCTAGGTGTATTTTTATTGAAAATGATGAATCAAACTTTGCCACGCGATACCTGAGCGGCAAGCGGATATGGGGCTGATTTTACCCAGAACAAAAAGCCGGTGTAAATTTTACTTGACAGTGTCTATACATTTGTCGTGTTCTGTTTCAGACAAGACCCTCATCGTGTGGAAGTTGACCCGTGACGAGACCAACTACGGCGTTCCCCAGAAGCGTCTGTACGGACACTCCCACTTCATCTCCGACGTTGTTCTGTCCAGCGACGGAAACTACGCTCTGTCCGGATCCTGGGACAAGACTCTGCGTCTGTGGGATCTCGCAGCTGGAAAGACCACCAGGCGTTTTGAAGATCATACTAAGGTGTGATAGAACTTTTACTCTATTAGGGCTCAAATCTAAACAGTGAAAACTGTGCCTATGCGAGGCAGAAGATTAGTGTGTATGTGCCTATGCGAGGCAGAAGATAAGGGTGGATATCTCCTATGTATTCTAAAGTGTAAGTAATGAATGCTTCACTGTTCACTCGTGCTATTATTCTCCATATATTTGCACAGAACTAACAAGCATTTTTTTTCAACACATGCACCCAACATAACCTTTTTTCACTTTCAATGTTCTAATCTTTATATGTATGATAACAGGATGTCCTCTCAGTGGCTTTCTCTGTGGACAACCGTCAAATTGTCTCCGGATCCCGCGACAAGACCATCAAGCTGTGGAACACCCTCGCTGAGTGCAAGTACACTATCCAGGACGATGGCCACAGTGACTGGGTCTCGTGCGTGCGTTTCTCGCCAAATCATGCCAACCCCATCATTGTCTCTGCTGGATGGGACCGCACAGTCAAGGTAAATATTTTTTTTTGTAAAATAAGAACCAAAAATATTGTCATTATTTTTAACAGTTTGCATTATCTTAACTGATGAATGTTTTTTTCCTCAGGTCTGGCACTTGACCAACTGCAAGCTTAAGATCAACCACCTTGGTCACTCTGGCTACTTGAACACAGTCACAGTCTCTCCTGATGGCTCCCTGTGCGCGTCCGGAGGCAAGGACATGAAGGCTATGCTCTGGGACTTGAACGACGGCAAGCACCTCCATACCCTGGACCACAATGACATCATCACAGCCCTGTGCTTCTCACCTAACAGATACTGGCTGTGTGCTGCATTTGGACCCTCCATCAAGATCTGGGTAAGTTTCACTTAAAACCTACAGTACATAAACTATATTATGTACTTGATTTACATGCTATTATTGTACTAAAATTTGTACTATGTTATAAAAAATCATTTTCGTTGTCAACAGGACCTTGAAAGCAAGGAAATGGTTGAAGAACTCAGGCCAGAAATCATCAACCAGACACAAAACTCCAAGGCTGACCCGCCTCAGTGCCTCTCGCTGGCGTGGTCCACTGACGGTCAGACCCTCTTCGCTGGTTACTCCGACAACATCATCAGAGTCTGGCAGGTTTCAGTCTCTGCCCGATAAGGTGTCGAAGAGATGAAGTTTCATTTATTTTTGTTCTGGATATGACTGCTAACTTGAGGATAAAAATAAATGGAATTGTATAGAAGTTATCTATTTTCATTTTGATCTCCTAATGATTAATTCATCACTTTTCATGATGTTAAGGTTATTGATACAAAGTGTATGTTAATGTACAAGCTATTATTGTAATGTAAATAAAATTTAAGTTCTTGTATTTGGAATTCTCTTATTATGCTTATCTTAGTCTTCCAACATCATTATCATAAAAATATAAATAAATATAAAGCTATACAACAGACCACCACAATCTTAAAATCTAACACAAATACCAAAGTAATGACTACATAATACTGAGATGGAAAATTATTCAATAACAGGATTCACTGGCCACCCAGCATCATTTAGTAGAGAGCTTCCATCAGTTACTTCTGTAGGTCCATCACCAACCTTAGTATAGATTACATACTTTACTGAATCCTTAGCCTCAGGCTGCAATGACAAGTTTTGCAACACTTCTTCACTTGCTGGTGTTGCTTTAGTATCCAAGCCCTTGATAAAACTGTCACTTATTGTTGTGGGGAAAAGATACTGAATCAAACCCAGAACTTTGGAAACTTCTTCCTCTAGAAGATACAAACATGCATTAGGTCCTGCGTCAAAAGTATAAGCAACTCTAGGTTCCCCACAAATCTCATTATATTTGTGAACAAAATCTATTATCTTCAGTGAAGTTGCTGTCATGTAAGCAAAAGGTGGATAAGAATCCAGACAAATTGCATGAAATTGATTACTGTCCTTCATAGTGATTTCAGCAAATTTAGAGAAGTCCTTATTTTTTATTGCTTCACAGATTTCTTCTGTCCTTCGGGGAACACACTTTTCAATGCGATACTGAAGTAGTTCAGAAGTTTCTTTGGATATTTTCATTCCTTTTGTAGAGCTCACTTTTTTTCTGTCATCACCCACAACAAGGATCAAAGCTCTCATCTGTGGCCAGTGGGAACTGCCCACTATCTGAGTAGCAACAGAATCTGAGCCATCAGCTTTCACACCAGCGTGCCAGTGCACGAAGCCTCCATAAACGCTCCGACAAGCACTGCCGGAACCAAGTCTTGCAATAGAACTGACGTCAGATTTAATTTTATAAAGTTTTGCCAGAGCTGTAACTAAACAGGCATATCCAGCGGCAGATGATGCTAATCCTGCGGCAGTTGGAAAGTTATTTTCAGAACAGACATGAATTTTCCACGACAAGAAAACATCATCAACACTGCGCTCGGCAACGGCTCTCAACTTAATTTCTCTTAGGCAGTTTTGCAAACGTGGGCTAGTAAAAGACTCTTTCTTTCCATTTAACCAAATTTCATTATTTGTGAAATCGGGACTCACGCATACGGAAGTTTTTGCACACATCACATTCGTGTCCAAAGTAGCACTAACGGAATCGTTCAACGGGATTATTAATTCTTCATCGCGTTTGCCCCAGTATTTTATGACAGCTATGTTGACCGGTGCCACCACTGTAATAATTCCGCTCATTTTCTGGATTCAATGAATTTAAATAGTTATCACTTGCTTTGTAGCGAAAACAACACTTTGCTCCTCAATCAAAAAAGTGTAGCGAGCGAAGTTTCAAAATTTTTTGCCAAGGAAAACGTCACCACCACTGGAGAGAGAGAGAGAAAATTAATAGGTATGCAACACAGCTCGGAACGTTAATGATATACTAGGTATTGCCTAATAATAGCCTCGTTTCATGTGAATGTGAAATTAATGAGAGTAGCTTAAGGAGAAATAATATTTCTCCTTATTTCTTTCGCGTTACTTTATTTTCGATGAATGTCTATAATCGATCAATGTAATCTTCTAAATATACAGGGTGACTGGAACTGAACCCGCCATAGCTAATACGCGTATAGAGGAGGTAATTTGCTAATTATTTAACCCTACTTTCTATGGCTAAAGTTTTATAGTTTCGGAGATATGCCAATTTTTATACTTTTTTCAGATTTTTCCGAAATTTGACCTATAAACTGCTTAAATTTTTTTTCTCGCATGATTTTAACCGATTTTTTTATTTGATACTAATATCGAATAAACCTGTAGTCAAATACAATAAATTTCAGATCTAGATAATGATTCAATAACTAGTTACGAGCCGTCAAAGTTCAACAAAAGTACAATCCACGATAAAATTTTCAAGTGCGAATTCGATTTCAACAAAAACTTATGGTGATAATGGATTGCCAATGATCTTAAAAATATCTCTACTTTCTCTTCTTTCCAATGATATATCACACGTAGTAATTAGATATAAAAATTGATTAAAAATTCAAAGTTTATGGAAGAAAATGGAGTAATAATGCGAAAATTATCCATGCAAAGTTTCTTCAAACATCTCATATTTTCTGCTATACTCCTTTTCATAACTATTTTTGTGTGTTTTTTGAAAAATGAATTTAAAAACAATAATCAAATTATGATGAAAAGAGTTTAAAAAAATTCAAAGTAAACTTTGTATGGATAATTTTTGTATTATTACTCCATTTTCTTCCATAAACTTTGATTTTTTGACAAATTTCAATATCTAATTACAACGTGTGATATATCATTGGAAAGAAGAGAAGCTAGAGATATTTTTACGATCATTGGCAATCCATTATCACCATTAATTTTTGTTTCAATCGAATTCGAAGTAGAATTTTTTATAGTGGTTTGTACTTTTGTTAGACTTTGGCGGCTCGTAACTAGCTATTCAATCATTATTTGGAACAAAATTTTATTTTATTTGAATAAAGACATATTCGATATTAATATCAAATAAAAAGAACTGCTGAAATCACGCGAGAAAAAAAATTGAAGCAGTTTTTAGGACAAATTTCGGAAAAATCTGAAAAAAGTATAAAAATTGACATATCTCCTAAACTATGAAACTTTAGGTATAGAAAGTAAGGTTCAATAATAAGCAAATGACCTCCTCTATACGCGTATTAGCTATGGCGGGTTCCGTTCCAGTCACCCTGTATAAAAGGAGAAACTGACCGACTGACTGACATATCAACGCACAGCCTAAACGGCTAAACGTAGGCACTTGAAATTTGAAAGAAACGTAGCTTAGGTACCGTAGAGGTGCACTAAGAAAGGAATTCCCGAAATTCCCACGCGATCGGGAATTACCGGGAAAATCCTTTTGTATGAAAAATCTAAACCGCTTAAGTTAGACGCTTGAAATTTGGCATGCAGGTACCTTAGTAAACTTAAAGCTTAATTACAATAGGATATTGCAAAATTTCCACGGGAACGGGAGTTAGCGGGAAAAACATTTGTATGAAAAAATCTAAGCCGCGTAAGATAAATGAAGGGGGTAAAACGGGATCCACGCGTACCTACGAAGTCGCGGGCGGCCGCTAGTTGCTAAATAATCTCTAAGGAAATATTACCCACTATTCCCGAAAGCAGCACTAAGTCTCGTTCGCATTAGTCGAGTATTTAACTCGCCTTTGATAACTAAACTACTCGCTAGTCGCTACTGGCCAAAAAATTGTTGACACTTTGGTAGTAGTAGTTTACAAGTAATTTGTGGTATGAATTCGAAATAGATCGCCCGCTGTGAACTCGTTTAGCCCGTGAGCGAATAGGCTAGGGAGGTGTGTGTGGACTGTGTGGGTATTTAAATTAAATGAAATATTTTAATTAACAAATATTAAGTGGTTATTTAATTTTTAGCGTAAAGAGTTGCATCTCAAACTAATTATAACTTGAAAAAATCGAACTGCCTCGACCATTCGTAACGTAAACGCTGGCCGTAACAGCGTATTACACTTGAAAATTTCGACGGGTTCATCCAGTGTCATAAGTAGCTCAGTTGGAAGAGCAGTCGCCCGGTAAGCGAAAGGTCGTGGGTTCAATTCCCGCCTTAGGCAGTTCGATTTTTTCAAGTTATTTATAATTTTCAAAATATTTTTTTATATTCAAAAGAAGAAGCTCTTGGATGGACTGCGGCTCAAGATGAAAATTGATTAATGGCTAAAGCTGGAACTCCAGCGAGTGTTTTGCCCTACACAATCAACAAAAACATGTTAACATTCAAAATTTTTTGTAGGCAATTTTGTTGAAAATTGACATAGGTAATATTATTTTTGTTGATTGCGTAAGGCAAGGCAAAACACGCGCTGGAGATCCGGCTTTACGGTGAACTTATCCCGGATTCATTTTAAATAATGATCACTGACTTGTGTGACCGTGTCAGTGTTAATGAAAAACAAAAAATATCACATGATATTATTGTCAGCACTACGTGACTAAGAACAAAAATGTAAAAATTGCGTTTAGTTATTTTTGTTCATATACATGTAATACGTATAACGTGTGTTTGATATTAATAATTTTCTTTTGATCTATTGAGTAAAATTTATTGTGCGTAAATTTACTATTTGCTGTTATTGTGTATGAAGTGATTACATTTTTATCAGTATTTCATTAACGTTAAAATTTCTAGGAAACCAAACGTAAATTTTCTCAAGCGGCAGCTTTTTGAAATTGCATATAACGCGGCCAGATTAAGAAGTATCGATTCCGATTGTTCTGTCTTATCTGTGAATAGAAATTACGTTTTATTGTTTTAGTAATAAATGCGAGAGTCGAATCTCATATATAACCGGATGACCTATTTTTTATTCTGCCGAACTACACTACACATTTCAGTTTATCGCTGCCATTTTCGTTTTGTGGCACGGTACAGTGGTGGTCTGTGTATGAATTCGATAAAATAACTGGCTACTACTGCTAAATTTGGTTGCTGTGGTTAATCTGACTGTGTTAGATTGCATTTGTGATTCGAATGGGATAATATACACTGTGTTTATTACGTCACCTAATCTGTTGACTTCTTGGGCGGAGAGGGTGAGTACTTATTTGGCTAATAATTCAAGAAATAAATACACTAAATTCTCATTCAGGTATACGTTTCCAATAGGTATTGATGTATGAAATATAATTAATTACCTCGATGCATATCAACGGCTACTACACTAGCTAACTGAACCAATAAAATGGGCGTTGTGAAGCGAAGGTTTTACCTATCATTCGCAACAGTCACCGACTCACCGTGCCCAACGTTATCCACGTTAATCAGGAACTAGAATTTGTCATCACGATCACTAGAACTTTGCTTGTTGAATTTTACTAGCTTAGGTAATTGAAGCCGAAAAATTATGAATAAAAATGAGAACATTGAGATACTTATCACAATGATCTTTTCGTGTGAACTTTGGGTGATAGTTCATTATCTGCATGAGGCCTCAAATTCGCATTCCAAATCTGGTATTCTTATACTGCACCTAAGTACTGAAGAATAGAGTATCATGTTGTGAAGCATGGTTTCACATCATAATTTTCTTGTTTTGGTATAAAAATTAACAGAGGTACTATCATTTAGGTTGTTACTCAACTGTAAACAACATTAAAATTATATATCTCTAGACTTACAGTAACAATTTGGACAAGAACTACCCATAATGATAAGTATCTAAAAATATATTTAATTATTCAATCCATAGCAATCATCTCCAGATTGTAACTTATTAAATTCTTATTAGACTTAAAATAACTGATTTATATCTGTTTTTCTGACAAGTTAGAAAGTTTAAAAATGTGTGAGACACCAGCCAGAAAGATCTATTTTCATTATGACGTGAAAATATTACAAGGTAAGAGATTGAAATCTTGATACATTTATATTATTTTAACTTTGTTGAAATTATAGCATCAAATCTGTTAATACTTGTTAGATTTACTGTATCCTTGCTTTGTAAGATTCGCACAACTGTTTTGTTAAAATGTTGATGCCATTGGCTAAACATTATTGATAGTTGTATTGTTGGAAAGTAAGAGAAATGTCTACAACAAAATTATCCAGCATATAATTTAACTATTAGAAGGATTTAAATAAATAATTTTCTCACTTGCCTTACCATGTGGCTTCTGTTTAAATAAATATTTCTTAACTAATTTCTATCTTCATGGCAACATGCTATTTTCATGCTTATCAAATAATTCAGTGGAAAATAAAATGCGAGACAATTCACCAAACCAGTAACATAATATTTCCTTATTTTTTTATTAAACTGTTTTTTTTGTACATGATGCAGAAAATACCCTTAGTCCAAATTGGTGTAGGTATCGGCAATAACATCTAATTATTAATATCTAATGCATTGTATGAAAAATTTTAATCCCCAGCGTTGCTTATCTGTCGTCTTGTTTGTTTTCTAGATAGGCTTATCTAAAACTTAAAAGTATTTATTATGGCATTTAGCAAAAAGATGTGTAAGGTATGTGGGCTGACATATTATTGACTAGGAATTTTTATGCCATAGCAAAGTAGTCACTGAGAGTGATCATTGTTTCATTTTCTATATTTATTAATCTATATAATATAAAAGAAAGTCGTGTTAGTTACTTCGCTTATAACTCAAGAACGGCTGAACCGATTTAGCTGAAAATTGTCAGGGAGGTAGTTTAGAGCCAGGAGAAGGACATAGGATACTTTTTATCCCGTTATTTATTGCCATTAAGGCGGAACAAAGTTCGCCGGGTCAGCTAGTTATTTATAATACAACAGGGCTAAATGTGTATTACATGATAATGTGGTTAAGTTTGCTCACAGAAACAAAAACTTCTGTTAAATTGGCTGGCATGAAAATCTGAGTAATATTTACAACATGCGCGAGACGCGCTCGCGATATCCACCGGGAATCATCATCCGCGGACGGAAACGCCAGAATGTGGCAATGTAATAAGCGCCCCTTTATTTGTAACTAGACTCTCGGATTAGAAAATTTAGTTGGAACCCATAGTTGAAATCCTTAGACCTACAAAACTAATGTTTTGTATTTAGTACAAAAAAGCATACACAATCATTCACAGAAGATCGTTTCATCCACGAAGACGCGCCCCACCAATTTTGTTCGAACGAAGCGCGGGGTGCGGTTAGTTTGATTCGAGCAATCCGAACGTCATTATTGTAGTGTGCGTGTGCACTCATGGATGATTTAGCGTGTACCGATAACACTCAAAAGTCAAACATTAGCGGAAAAATGGTAGGGTGCGTCTTTGTGGATGAAACAATCTATAGCTTTCACATTTTTAGATTGTAGGCAGGTAAAAAAGATAGTTGGTATACACTTTAGAAATTTATTTTTATACATATTATTTCCAAGGGCAAGCATTTTCTATCATCTCATATGCTTTACTAATTACTGGGGTAATATCCTCAACTGGTCTGTTGGCTGCTGAAAACCATATGGTCCCATTAGATCCTCGCTTGAATGCTTCTACAAGTCCTTTTATTGCTGATTCAGGTCTAGAAAAATAAAATAAAAAATGGGTTAATGTAACAATCGAAATACATAAACAAACACCCATATTCACAAACATTACTATGAGATCTCACAGTGCGCGTGGACGCACAGGGTGACAAACGAACCCATCACCAAACTCGATTCAAAGCTGTGCGTTCGATTTTCTTCTTCACTTAAGCAAGTATTGTTTGTCAATATGGGTGAAGCACTATGCAAGAGTGCAAGAATCGTTACCTTTGAATGGTTTCAGGGTCAATCGAGCTGTTCATCTCCTCTCCACGCTTTTCATTGTATGACAGCTTGTCCATATTGTGAAGTAATGGTGTGTCAGTACCTCCATAGCACATAATTATTATCCTTACACCGGTTTGGTCATGGAAGGGGTCCATCTATGGAACATTCAAAATATTAGTCAGAGTATTATAAAGACAGTCATGTGCTTTTAACAAACATAATCCTCCTTCTGGCACAGTCGAATAAAAAAATACAAGTTACAATACAAGTACACTACTTGAAATTTCTGAAAAGTTTTTACCGCAATACTGTAGCTGAAGTGTAAGATACCAGCTTTACATCCAGAGTATATGGGTAGAAATGGGTATCTGGTAAAACCTAGTGCAGAAGACACATTTATAATGGTGCCTCCTTTGCCTCCTTCCTCTTTACTCATGTGTTTCAGAGCCTTCAATGTGAGGGAAACCATTCCTTGCTGAAAATCAAGATAAATAATTATATCTTCTTATCAAAATATAACTATTGCATCATAGTGATTTAGGTAGATGTTATCTAAAAACGATTTGTGTAGATAATGATATTATTTCAATTAAAAACATTTGAAGGCGAAACTCACATAGTTCACATCACTCGCTTTCCTCCATATGTTCGGAGAATCATTCATGACCCCAGCATTGTTGATGACTACATCCACAGTTCCAAACTTGTCGACCACTACGTTAAACGCCTCTGTCAAAGATTCTTCATTGCTGACATCACATTTCAAAAATATCACTTTGCCAGGATATGCCTTGTTTAATTTGTCCGTAAATAGTTTCCCAGTTTGCTCAGATATATCCAAAATGGCCACACTCTGTTGAAGAAAAGAAAAACTTTGTATTTGGTGTGAATATAAAGTATACCGGGGCCGCCAGGGACGGAATCACTCATTATGTAAAGGGTTGGTGCTTTTGGATGTCCTGTTTGCTAACTTTCATACAGGGCCTATGTGTAAGTGCTGGTAAGTGGTACTTGCCTTGGCGCCATCTTGAAGGAACAATTCCACGTAACCGGCGCCTAGCCCTGAAGCACCACCGGTGATTAAAAAGGTCTTCCCCTCGACTACACCGAACTCAGTCATGTTGGAATTTTCACAGCTATTACATAAAATATCTGCCGTCTTCAAATTTATATACTTTTTATCTATCTAATCTATTTATTTATCATTATGACATGCATATAAGCCACGATAGCCGAGCGAGCGGTGAAGGGGTCGGACTGGCCGACTCGAGATCAGAGGAACGCGGGTTCGAATCCCACCGCCACTCGACTATTGTGGTGAGCCCACTCGTTACACAAGCATATTATTCAGCTTACCTCGAGGGGCTAACGCTACTGTTCGTTTCGTAATTTGTGCAATACAAATTAATTATGTAATAATCAATAATCTTTGACGTTCATAAGTGCCAGTTGTGGTCTATTTAATAAACATTTTTGATTTTGATCTTTATTTAAAAAAAATATCAAAGCCTCAAGAACTACATAATAAGATTTGGCAGTCTTCATTATTTAATATTTTTCAGTCATGTGGGGCTAGGGATTGCAAATATTCGATAGATTTCTATTTCGAATATTCGAATATTATTCGAATATTCGAATAATTTCAAAAAAAAATAAAAAGTACTTAAATTATCAATGTTTTTATTGCTGGTTTTATTGCTTTAGAAACTATATTTTAACTATTTAACAATATAGTTTTTAAAGCAGTTATAAAATTCTCATCATCATCATAATTTCAGCCATAGAACGTCCACTGCTGAACATAGGCCTCTCCCAATGACTTCCACAATGACTGCTTGGCAGCGGCCTGTATCAAGCGCCTTCCCGCTACCTATATGAGGTATTCGGTCCACCTTTGTGGGTGGACGTCTCACGCTGCGCTTTTTGGTACGTGGCCTCCACTCCAAAACCTTGCTGCCCCATCGGCCATCATTTCAGCGTACTATGTGATCTGCCCATTGCCATTTCAACTTGCTAATCCGTCGGGCTATGTCAGCGACTTTAGTTCGTTTACGGATCTCCTCATTTCTGATTCTGTCTCGTAAAGAAACCCTGAGCATAGCCCTCCCCATAGCACGCTGTGCAATTTTGAATTTATTTATAAGACCTATTGTAAGAGGCCACGTTTCCGAGCCGTGTACCATCCTACCATCACTGGTAGAGGTAACACACACTGATTGAAGAATTTCGTCTTTAGGCACTGAGGTATTTTGGACGAAAAGATGTTGTATAGTTTCCCGAACGCTGCCCAGCCGAGTTGGATTCGACGATGTACCCTTTTCTCGAAATTTAATCTACCTAGCCGAATCGTTTGTCAGAGGAAGACCTCGAGAATCGAGCTCTAACCGAAACATGGACGTTGGACCTAAGCTTCGTTTTGTCCACGTACATCCGAAGGCCTGCCTGTTGAGAGACTCGATTAAGGTCTTCGAGCATTGTGCCGAGGTCTTCAAGCGATTCTGCCATGATCACAATATCGTCAGCAAACCGAAGCTGAGTGATGTATTCGCTATTGAAAGGTAATTATGCCTAATCCTTTCCATTCAAGGAGCTTGAAAGCGTCTTCCAATGCAGCGGTCAACGGTTTCGGAGATATAACATCTCTCTGCCTCACGCCTCGCTGCAGAGGAATCGCTCTCGTGCTCTGCTCCTGTACTCGGCTCGACATGGTAGCGTTTTTGTACAGGCATTTCAGCATCTCGATATACCGATAGTCAATACGGCACCGCTGAAGAGACTGCAGCACTGCATAAGTATCGATCGAATCAAAGGCCTTCTCATAGTCCAAGAAAAGCATCACCACGCTTCTATCCCATACCTCTGGCGTTGTTCTTTAGAGTAAGACGGGACGAGTTTCGGTGTTCCACCCGCGTTCAGAAGCTCCCAGGTTATTCCGTCATCACCCGGTGCCTTGTTGTTCTTTAGCTGTTTGAGAGCCTCCCTAATCTCGTATAGGCTGATATACGGGATGTCTTTGGTATAGTGTCGCGTTAACCTAGCACTTGCATCTGTTTCTGAGTTATTAACAGGTTTGGAGGTATGTGGCTGTCCATAAATCTTTTCGATCTCACCCAGAACCTAGGCTTTTGTTGACATTACCGTCCGCCGTCTTCAGCATCGTTAGCTGACTGTGCTCAATAAAGTTGTCTCTTTCAGGTAATTTGGAACCTTGGTTTCGCAAGACAACTTATTTTAGTTGGTGATATGTATTTGATGCCTCCAACCACATTTGCAAGCACTAAGTTGTCTTCGTTCTATCTTTTCTGTTAATTTTTGTAATATTCGAATATTCGAATACGTGTTAATTTACTATTCGAATATTAAATTTGGAATCTAAATTCGAATATTCGAATATTCGATTGCAACCTCTATGTGGGGCCAACTTATCAAAAAACGAGATAATGATGATAGTGTACATTTTTCGCTCTGTCATCTAGTCCATTTTGTGTTTTTTACGATTTACAGCCCTAAACTTACATTTTAATAGGGGCTGGCAGCTAACAGGTTAAATAAAATAAAAATAACTCATGGAATAAAATAAAAATAGTTCAATTAAAATTTATTTAATTTACATGATCAAAATAAATAAATGAATAGAAATACTTTATAAATCAGAGTTTAAAGCTTTTGTTAGAAAATCTTGTGCTTGGTTGTAGGCTAGGGTGATGTCTTTTACTGGCTTGTCATTGACTGAAAACCAATTGCTGCCATTGGTTCCTTGCTTGAATGCTTCCACGACGCCACTGACAGCTGATTCGGGTCTATGAAAAAGAAATCAATTTAGCTTTCTGCACTCGCACATTCGTTCTTATTAATTAATACGTAAACAACACGTACAAAAAATAAATATGTTTATTGAGAATAATGAAATTTAAAATTGGAGGTTTTTTGTTTTATGAAACATCGTCATTGCTATTTAACTCATTAATGAACGTGACTCCCGACTTAGCTGGGCCGAGTGTAGTCCCCTGAGTTTCACCGCCAACAGTGGCGGCGTAGCATGGGTTGGCACCCGGGGCGATCCCCCCCCCCCCCCCGTCATGAGTCCTTAAAGGCACCCCCCCGTATCATGACATAGACAAGACCTGCCATGCAGATGCGCCCACAGAGCACGTAATAGTGAGCACGGATGCGCCAGTGAGTACTAATCTGCGCGACTTGTGTCACCCCCTGATGCTTGGCACCCGGGGCGGACCGCCCCCACCGCCCCCCCCTTACGCCGCTACTGACCGCCAACTCTATCTGTGGGTCTAGACAAAGTGTAAGTGTTATAGAGTTTTGACAGATTCGATTTTCGATTCGATCAAAAAGTGCATTTTGTCTAGGGGGCTGTTCACTATTTCGTCAAATCATCAATTCACTCAGGTCTGTATTATAAAGACACGATGAAATTCGCTTCCATCTCAGCTATAATGTAGATTATCTCCTGTCATTGCTCTGAATATTTTGACATTGAGTTTGAACCGAGTTTTGAACTACGTTCTGTAATACAGATCTCAGTCCTGTGCTTCAATCTCTCCTTTAGAGGTTTCGCAATTTATAATAAGTTGCATTTCTTCAGACATTAGATAGAATATTAGGGTACTCTACCTTTGATAATTGAGGGAAGACAGAAGTTGGGCCATTGCTTTTCCGCTCCTTTCGTCATAAGATAATTGGTCCATGTTGTTAAATATTGGTGTTTTGGTGGGTCCAATACACATACTTATAATTCTTACACCAGTAACTTCGTGAAAAGGATCCACCTGTGGAATTTGAACGCATTATAAGTAATGTAATTATGTCTTAATTATCCACGGTGGCTGACAAATATATTATTATTGTCTAGTAACATAGATTGTAATAAATTAAAGCCGCGTTCGCGAAACTATTCGTACATTCGACTACCGTCTGAACTTCGTACTGGTATTATAAAGTCGCTTACCGCGAGACAGGAGCTGAAGTGTAACACCCCTGCCTTACTACCTGAGTAGGCGGGCACATAAGGAAACCTGCCGAAGGCTGCTGTTGACGATATGTTCACTATGGTGCCCCCAACGCCTCCATCTTCTTTGTGCATATGCTCCAGACCTTTGAATGTTAGCGACACTAAACCTTTCTGAAATTCAAACAGAATCTAGAATTCTTATTCTACTAACAAGATTAGATAGATGGAGTAGATACAACACTTACGTAATTGATGTCACAACACTTCCTAAACATGTTGGGCGAGTCGTTCATAACGCCAGCGTTGTTAATAATTACATCCACCGTTTTGAATTTATCGACTACTTCATTAAATGCCTGTGTCAAACTCTCTTCATTGCCGACGTCACATTTGAAGAACAACACTTTATTTGGGAAGATTTTATTTAATCTCTTCGCTGTTGCTTTACCGGCATCTTCAGATATGTCCAAAATAGCCACGCTCTGTCGAAAATGGTCGAATGGTCAATCAATACTCTTTGGTCTGTCACTATGATTAAAATAATTAAAAGTAGTGTTAGGATTAAACTTGCCTTGGCTCCATTTTCTAGGAATGCTTGAGCATATCCAGCGCCAAGCCCCGAAGCGCCACCGGTTATCAAAAATGTTTTTCCTTCAATTTTTTTGAGCTCTGACATGGTACAGTTCTCGCGATACACTGAAACAATATCACACACCTACTTAGGTTCTTAAAAAGTTGTCTAGACATTATCTTATCAAGTGAGAAGCTGTTAAATTGCCATACACCATTTTAGACGGCGTAAAAACGATTTTACAATAGAATCGTGGTTTTGCGATAGTGTCCACTTTGCCACTTAGCTCAAAATAAGTAGGTATCGCTCAAACATTTTCGGTTGAAATGTTATGTTTCAAAACTCTTCTTTCGGGATTTATATTACTGCAATGACATCAAAACTCATTATCGTCAGTCGATCATATCGCAACTGGTACTTTGATTAGAAATGTCGTTAATTGTACGAGTAATTGGCAAATGACGATGAAATTAGCCGTGTGGTGACGGCAGAGTAGAATACATTTGTCACCAAACCCTACTCTTCCCGCGGGTGTCGTAAGAGGCGACTTAGGGACTACACATCAAACAGAGAATGGGCAGCAGCGCTCTCTGAAAAACATCAATCTTTTAAACTGCGATCTCCAACCCGCCTGCCAAGCGTGGAGATTATGGCAAAACCCTCCACTATAGTGGAGGAGGCTCTTAGTCCAGCAGTGGACTGTATAGGGCTGTTGATGATTGATGACTTTCATTGATGTGGAACTTTATTACACAGAAATAAAGATATCCATTAGGAAAATATTAGTATTTTGGCAGATTGATGTCTTGTTGTCGACTGCCGAGTTTCGGTGACGTAGTGCCTTACGGGACTATTCCCACCGGTGCAAATCCTGTATAGCCAGGATCTATGTAAAAACCCAACCAGTAAAGGTCAAGTTTGTCCCGGGGAATGTTAAACTGTCATTGGACCCGCAACGAAATTAATCAGAAGAACATAGGAGGAGTCCGAAGTTAAGGTTCGACTTCCCGCCATTGCAAAGCGGATGACAGGTGACGTAGTGCCTTGTCATCATCTAAATCGGTTCAGTGGTTTAAGTGGGAAAAGAGACAGAGTTACTTTTGCATTTATGATTTTACATGCAACCCATTTGCATCCTGACACCTGCTCCTTTATATTCATAAACCTCTTATCTGGGTCGAATGCCAAGCCTTCCTGCTTTCTTTATCTTTTTTGAAGAACGTCAAACTATCGTAATCATTATAAGTGCAGTACGATAGTACGAATTAGATTAATGTACAAATTAATCGGCAATGACTCGCAGCATTGCCATTATGGCGCAGTTATAGTTCCAAAATACTGAACTGTCCTATCCATGATATTGACAGTGGGGCGCCACCGTCAATATCGGATCGCTGGTTCCGATTTTTGCCACGTTGGAAACCATTATTATAGTTGAACTATGGTAGCGCCCCCCTGTCATTGAGTTTGGTGGGACAGTTCAGCATGGGTCATCTATACACTATGCTGAAAATTGCTCAAGACATGTAGTGTAAACACATATTTCAGTTAGTGTCGCCGTGCGTTGCCCATACTTAGGTGTGCGTCTTCGGCGCTTCTGTTCGATTTTCCCGCAATTTCCCGCGTAGTGTAACTGCGCCATTGCAGTGACAATGCGTAGTCGCATCGCATGCTTGCAGCAGATATCTCTCGCGTGTGCTGCCGCTCTTCGGCGCGTTAAACTGTTAATCACTGCCCACTACATGTTACAACGGCTTTCAATTACGCTAATTCAAGTTTTTGTGAATGTACAACGTTCACGTGATTATCTTAAATCTTGCTTGCAGTGTTTTTTGGACTAGCAGCGTTGTTGATGTTGATAAAGGTTGGATATTGATCCCAATTCAGATTGCAATGATCATCATCATCAGCCTCTTTAGACCACTACTGATGGATGGATCGTCTACCTAAGCTGGCGCTATGTAGAGCCGTTGTGAATTTAAATTCAATGTGCCGGGCTATTAAAAGGTCTTCTTTATCTATTAGATACCTTCAGCTTCAGCAGGCGACTCTAATTAACAACACTCGAGTACTCGAATCAAGAGTAATTAATATTTTGAAAAGCAAATAGTTGTGCATGTTGTTTCAGAAATATACAGTCAACAAACATTATTTTATTGCTGAAAAGTTTTATTACAACTACATAAGATTCCTCTTATGTAGTTATAGAGCTTAGCTTGACGTGCTGTAATCCGGAAAAACTGCTACTAGACTTGCCGGCCTTAATAATGTGAAATCATTTCATCGTGTCATTGTATCATTATTTTTATTCATGAAACATTTCTATTTCGTGTTTATAAAAAACTGAATACGATAAATAATGACGTATAAAAGTATCTGACTTTTCATTTCCTGTTTATTTGGTAAGAATGCTAATTGGGTATCTGACACCATTCACCGATAATTCTAAAGCACAACTTTTTAAAATCTCACTTCATTCTGGTCTTAAAATCTACTGTAAATAAGTATTTTTGGTTGCTTTGTAGTAGTTGAAAAAGTTAGTCAAATAGTGACGTCTTTGGCTTGTAAAATGTATGGGGGAGTTTCGTTTTGACTGTTCATAAAAGTACGTCAATTGATTGGTGGTGTCAAATTCCGAAGTACGCTTGTCGTTCTTATTGGCTCTTTTTCTGCAGGTGTAAACATTTTCGGCATTGTTATTATTTTGTTATGATATTAATACGCCAGTCAGTAGGTACACGTACGTACAGGGGTTTCCGCGTGCACGACCGTTCGATTGCATTAACTCGACGGAAGTGTCAATTTGTTGCCACCCACACATGACGACGTGTCTCGTTGACGCCACACTGTCTGCTTTCTTTGGCTCCCGTAGTCCCATTTAAAAAGGGCTAAGGGCTGATTTTTCAAGCGTCAGTTATCTTTTATCTGAAGAATGTCATTTTGACAGATTTACCATACTGAAACTGTCAATGTGCCAAACTTATTCTTAAAAATACAATCAATTTGAGAATTTCTACCTTTTTCTTCACACTCTACCTACGCTAGACTCTTCTTTTGCAAGTTTTTCATAAAAACACTAAATTACCAAGTATACCAACTACTACAAACTTGTGTAACAAGGATAATGCTTATTATGTGCCTAATGATAGACTATTTCTGTTTTTAATTTAAAATGAGTTTCCTCGCGAGCTATCAAATCGCAACGTTTAGCATATTGTCAGGATAATCTTATCAGAAGCAGGACGCGCTGGTTTGGACGTCATGCTCTGAAAATAGCTCTGCTCAATGTACCTAGATGGTTTCATTGCCTAGGAAACTAGAAGATGTTAGATTAATATTATAAATTATATTAATATTAGGAATGTTCAGACACAATTGAAAATTAAGTCCGTGATAGTTTGTCTCATCTAGTGTTGATCTAATTAATTAAACCTAATTAGATCGCATGTCCGTTACACTAGAACAGCCAGACGATAGATATATTGTCAAATTGTACATTTCCTAACATTGACTAATTTTAATATTTTAATTGTCTCGCGGTGTTAATCGTTAATTAAGTAAGTAGGTACATAACTCCCGATGGAATTTGTTAAAGGTCGTGAAGTTCAAACAACTAGATAAATGACGTAAGTGCGCTTACGTATGCCGGTGATGTCAATTATTGTTTAGTTGTATACTATGGGGAACGCCTTTCGCATGCAAATGCAGCCTTTCAGTCGAGTATGTGAGGAAGTCGCTTTCTTATTCGGAGACGCGTTGATAAATATTAAACTTCTACTAATAATTTTGTACTCCTTTATGTAATACCACAGACTAATAATAAGTACTACGTAGTAATACTGTGACAATACTAAGAGCTGTACTTTGAAAATAATATCCTTGAAAGGATGACGTGAGAAGTAACAATCACTTTGCGATTTAACTCTACCAATCCGTACTGAGAAACAATACTTAACTGTTCGCGAATTCTTACAAATCAAAAGCGCATGCAAGTCTAGAATAAAGTCGTTTGATTTGCTACACCCAGCTGTTACGTACAGTTAGCTGCAGCCTAAGGCTGGGTTGCACCGTCTTACTTTAACTTTGACAAACGTCAGATTTCTGTCAAACTCCATACAAAAAGCACAGGTTATTGTTATTGTTACGGTTAAAATAAGGTGGTGCCACTCAGCCTAAGTTATTGCCCAACAGATCTGTTCAATTACCGTGTTTTGATTTGTCACGGCCGATAGAATGGCGCGCCACTGACATTATAACCTGTGCCATTCGCTTAACCCAGTTGTTACGGATATCCCTTTTTTCTTACGATTCCTGTGATTTTGCATATATCGGCTGTTTAATGCATCAAGGCAACAGGAAAAATACAAAAAAAATATTGGTCTTACGGAAACGCTGGAAAATGGTGTTTGATATACGGAACGCTAGTAATATGTACGGCCACTTGTATGAACTTAGAGATAATACATACTCTTTGCGACTTGCGTAAGTTATTAAAGTATTTGCATAAAATATGGAATATTCATTAATAAAAAACAAATTAGAGTTAAATTTATTATTTTTCAAATTTAATTCCAGTAGTGTGAACTGTATATTATGCCCTAAACATTTTTTGGGATAAAGGGTAATAATTATATTATTTCTTGCAAAAAACATTGCATTTGTAGCAAAGCGTGAGTTTCATAAAAACTGTGTGTTGTCACTGAATTTGAGATGTTAAAATATTTCTACTCTGTTTATGTGGCGGAGAAAATCTCTTGGTTTTGACAGTTGGCGCAATTTTCAATGCATTTAAAGCAACTGTAACCACACTAAATCATCTCATTTACCAGCAATAATTTCTTCATATCTTTAAACATGACTGACCCTGTCTAGGGCATAATTGGCTATCTAAGCTAACGGGAAGCAGTCTTCTTCATCATCACTGGATGAAGAATTCTCTAGTGATTTCTACTGGGCTCTCATTTGTAATCCAGGCAAATCTATTGACACTTTATTTTTATCACCAGAGTTCTCTTTGGTTAAGTCACCATTACAATTTTCCGGATTTTCCGGCGGGAAAATTGTGATTGAGTTATGGATACACTCATCTTCATTTTTCTCCAGTTCTTCAATGATTTCATTTCAAGGAA